TAAGGTTTTAATACTGGTTTACTTTTTGGGCCAGTTATCATAATATTCACGAGATTTCAAACGAAGTTTAATTCCAGTCTCCGCCACTAGATGGCGAGTACCTTAAATTGTGAATCTGCAAGTGGTAAATTAAAAATGAAAGTATAAGTGTAAGCCAGACTTTGCATCTTTTCGAGCGATTCGACTCGACCGCTAAATATAATTGCAATTGTTGAACAGCAAAGAAGAAACCGTTACGAAATAACATTTCGCTAATCTCTTTGAGGTGGTCTGATAGGGTATGAGAGTTCGATGCCTAAAAGCAATAATTTTTTGAAATTGGACCAACCTGAAATACTCATACTTTTTTGCTTGGACCGTAATGGATCGAGCATATGTTCATTAACTAAAAGCAATGATTTTTTAAATTCGGAGTAACCTAATACATTCGCACCTTATATCCACATTGTAAAGGATAGTATTATACTCTCTGAGGGCACTCGATATGACGAGTCGAGGAAATCGTCGGAGAACAAGTCCGAGCATTCGTAAAAGTAGCCATCACCACCAGATGGCGAGTATCGTTACACGCAAATCTAAAAGTGACTGATCTGAAAATACTGATATATAAGTAAATATGAAGCATCAAAATTATGTCTAAGAAAAAATATTCATTGATTCAATGAAATCTAATTTAATATTTTATTTACTATTAAGGTGATGCCTTGAGCACAGAAAATGTATATTTTCGTAACTTTTTTTCCAGACTGATTTTCGAAAAACGGCTCTGTGGAGCCCTCCGTTTTGTTGCTGTGAACAATTGCACCAAATTTCAGCCGATTTCATCGGGTAGTTTTCCCGGAAAACAGGATCGAAATTTTTTATCCTACAAACAGTAATCAAAAATTTCGATCCTGTTTCCCGGGAAAACTACCCGATGAAATTGTCTGAAATTCGAAAAATAAATGAAAATGCAAACTCATAGATTATTTTTAACGCGATAATTAACATAGAAGATTCAATTCTACACACAAATTTAAACATTTCGATTTTTATATTAATGAAGTAATGATAAATAATTGTTTGTGAAAATTAACCAAAGTATACAAATTGAAAAATACTCAAAAACAGCCTTCACCGCCAGATGGCGAGTATCATTACTCGTAAATGTGCAAGTACCATAGTAAAAATAAGGATATAAGTAAACACACTTCGCATTTATCAGGTTGTGAAAAAATTTTCTGTGCAATTCCAAGCACTTCACAGGCAGTAACTTTTTACTTTTTCTTTACTCTGAATTATTGTTGCAGTTGTATTGAATATTAAATAATAGTCCTTTTCAAAACTCAAATTATGGAAATTAGGTAAGTATCAGAAAAAATTCGAACTCGGAATCGATTTTGTGAAAACACGGATCATCGACCCGCGAACAAAATTTTACGCAATCTCCCGAATCGCGTTAAAAATGTACGTACGCGTAATGTACAACGACGACGCTACATAAAAGAAATCTCATTTTTATCGCGAAAAAAAGAAATTGAATGGCTGTTACACGTTTATAGAAGCTCGCGCGTAAGGTGTGAAATTCACAAAAATTGATACAAGCACGAGCCAAGAAGGTAAGTGCGCACCGCAGCAATATCCGCAAATTGATACTCCAAAAGTTAATTCAGGTTCGTACATATACGTTCACGACGAAGCGCATCTTCTTCGATCGTCGATCGGCATCGCGGCATCAGCCCAAATCAGCTCGGTACAACTATCGGCCTGTCGAATATTTCTCGTTGCCCCGAGACTCACTTTTGCATATTTTCCACCCTCCCCACTTTCGCATCGTACTTGTAGCTCGCTCCATACGAGCGAAATATACGTGGCGCGTGCCGGGGCACATGCACCGCTCACGCATGTATATATTATAAATATAAACCTACATAACACGCGCCGCGCACGAATCAATTCGTAATGAGGCCCTCTCTCGCTCGAGAGCCCAGAAGAGAGGGAAAGAGATTATATGAGGGCGAACGCAGGCACTGCACGCGTCGTGCACACTTTCGCGCGCACCTGCATACTTATACCTGCATGTATATACATCCAGCAGGACACACACGTGCGTATACGCTTTTTTTTCGCAAACACACGTGTGTGTAGGGCCGAGTCAGTCGCAGGCAGCTTGCGCGCACCTTTCAAAAATATCCGCGCATACGTATATATACGATGCACCTTGCGCCGCGCGCGCGCGCGCGCGCTCGAGACGAGATCGAGATCGAAGCGAGAGATCGACTCGTTGCATAAGGCCTTGTGTATATGTGTGTGTGTGTGTGCTGCCGATCTGTATATAACACGACTCTCGATAATTGAGGCGATTGACGACGACGTTGTTGTTGTTGATCTTTTTGTCGCTATATCGTACAACGAACGACGATAATTTTCGATATATTGACCGGTGAGAGAGAGAGAGAGAGACACACGTTGCTGATCGATTTCTGCGGTTTGCGTGCGTATTATAAATACTCTCGCCGATGTGTGCAAAAAGCCATCCGAGAAACGACAATGTTTATAGTGCTCGTTTTTCTCTCGCAGCTCGAGTAACAAACTCCATACATCGTTCACTTTTGATACCATAATAAGTCAAATGCATTTACAGTTTTGTTGATTTTTCATAAACGCCAAAAATAAATTACTCCGTTTATTCGTTTTCAGCTTGCCAAGTATTATATTATTATGATTCATGAAAATATATACGCGTCGAGTACGAATAGAAAAAAAGTATACGTACATATTTTTCTGAAAAACTATTGTACGAGGTATGCACCCATTACTTTATTCCTCGTCTAATTTTAATCTCCGCGAGCTATCTTCGTGTATACACGTGGCCATTAAAAACATAGAAATGAAGGATTGCACGTTGGGTGTGTTATATGCGTTGCATTTTTGTGCAAACATATCCTTAACTACGAAATATGGGCTAGCGCGCGATAAACCACACGTCGGGTCCAGTTAATACGCACATGCACACTGCTGCTGCCGTTGCTGCTGCTGCACTCGTACTATCATCATCAGAAGCTAGAGAGTGAGAGAGTGAGAGTGAGAGATTCACTAGGGCAGAGAGGCACAATCAAAAGCTCGGACCAGTCGAAAAACAAACATTAGTCGCCCTTTCTAGGCTCGCATGGGCCCTGTGGACCTATTATAACGTATAAAAAATGTATGTATACATGTTGAATGCGCTCCGCAGCAAATCTTATTTTCTAAAGCACCAATTTCGCGAACTCCCAATCCATTCACCTGGCACGTGCTGTGTTCCCTCTTCCTCTTCTTCTTCTTCTTCTTCGTCATTTTTTTTCCAACTCACTCTCTTTCTTTCTCTCTCTCTCTCTGCCCGAAATATAATTGGCCACTCCACGCATATATACGCGCACCTGTCCGCCTGCGTATCTCGCGGCTCTATCGCGAATGCATATCGCTCGGAACACTATTTTTTTTACCTTGCTTCAAAATGATAAACAGGGAAGGTATGGAGAGGAGAAGAGAGAGAGAGAGAGAGAGAGGGCTATTGGTTTGCATAGTATTTAGAGGTTCCGATTTATCTTGCGGCCCGTCGTTAGGGTGAACGAAATGAAATGATATCAATAAAAATTTCCGAGTACATTACTTTTAAAAACTAATAAGTAATTGGAATACTTATTGAGTTGAAATAATTTCTTACTCCGAGGTATCATTTGGTAATCAAGATTAACTGAGAATATTTATCATTCGATCGCAGACCCGTTGAAACGATCGCGAAATTCCTTTTTTTTTTTTCAATTTTGGTGACTAATTTTCACATTGAGAATAATATTTTTTTACAGCTAAAAAGTGTGGCCAAAGAAAGTCCCAATGATCGGTGTAATCAAACCTATATATGCAAAAGGCCATTGAAAGCGGTTGCTTCTATAATTGTCCTAAAGCTAATAATTAAAGAGGCTATGATGTTAACTTTCTATGAAATGCCTTCATAAATAAGCAGCTTATAATATACATACAATTAATTTTTTCTATCGTGTGTTTAGAATTTAATTACCTCTCGCCATCTAGCGTTCAATGCTACAACGAGATGGTGGAACTTTTGCAATTTTTCGGAAGTTTCTGTATTTTCGGTTTTACCCTACGGTTGACACGTGGCTATCTGCTACAAGTGTTATCCATAAGTGTATGCCAAAATTTATTCATCATTTCAAACCAATTAGCAGCTTATAATGTTCATCGAACTCATCTATTTTGGTCGTGGGTTAAGTATTTGATTGACTCTCGCCACCTTGCGTTTGACAGCACAAGATGACAGCGACGGCAAATATGATTAGCGCGCATCAAAATGTGAAGATATGAAAAAGTACTGAACCAACGATATTCAACAAGTATGACGATTTTTATAGCTCGCTATTTTATAGTTCCTTTTAAAAATACTCTCGTTCAATTATATGAATAAAAATGTATACGTATATTTTTTTTTGAAAAATTTCAATCAACATTAATTTAAAGTATGCAATTTCATGCAAGCTTTTTTAAAAAAATCTCTATATTTTCGTTTTATTTCAACGGATGTATATCAAAGGTCCTCAAAATCTAACCAGCATAGTCTTGATTCAAGTCGCATTTTTCATTACTCACGAATAGTTGGAAAAATTAGAATTAAAAGTCAGTATTTTACTTCCTCTAAACACAACATGCGAAAATCGTTTAATAGCCCGCACGAGACATCGGAGAGTTAATGAGATAGAGAAACTTTACCGACATGCAGAAATGAGGCATCGTATAATCGTAAACTTCAAATTAAATTTTTCGATGCCGCGCGCAGTTACAACTAATTTGCGAAACGAGTTTCTGCAGCCAGGGCCCGCCAGAATATATCCCTTATATAGATCAAAATCACCCAAATCAAATCATCGCCTCGGCCCTCGTATATATATATATGTACGTACGTGTGTGAGCCCGAAGAAAAAAAGGAGGAAGAGAGAAGAGAGAGAGAGAGAGAGAGCAGTAACACTCTCATCTAATTCCTCAACTAGCATCGGCCCTACGACGACAGGCAATCGGCCGTTGCCGCCGCCGTTGCCGTTGCCGCACGCGCGCATCGTCATAAAAAAAGTCGCGTTTCAAATTGAGAGCAGCGGCAGCAGCAGCACACGCATCACTAGCGGGGACGACTGTATATAGCATATAACCCTGTTGTAATGCCCAAGCGCGTGCTGCGGAGCTGCTGCCCCTCAATTCCAAGCGCGCATCATCACTTTCTCTCTGTCTCTCTCTCTCTTTTTCTTTCTCTCGCTCTCTGACTTTCGCGATCCTTCCTTCCTTTGTTTTGTCCAAGGGCTACCCTCTAAAAGTGCGAGAGAGAGAGAGAGAGAGAGAAATAAGATGCCCAAGAGAGCGAGGCATTATGCATAGACTTTGTTGGTCTGTATATAAAAGCTGCTGCGATGGTGCGCGCGCGTGCACCTGCGGCGAGTCAAGGTGTTATACACCGGCTACCAATATTATTCTCTTTCTCTCTCTCTGCATCAAGAAACCTTGCCTGTTATTACCTACTCGGGAATTGAAATTTTTCAATTATGACAGGCACGAGCCACGAGGCTCTCGCACTATGCGTTAATATACATTGTGTGGGTGAATCTTTTATCGGTTCGAGAGAGGCATGCATATTTCCGAAAGTGGCCTATGTAGTTGGACTAACGAGGTATCATTTGAAATCGATAGTTCGTTATGTGGAGTTTTATTTTAATAGCCAAGTAAGTAACAATTATTATTTTAATTTTATACTTATTTTTCTTTTGCTATATAATTGCGATGATTACTAAACATTCATTAAACATGAAAATGCAACGAAATAAATGTCCGTACGAAGATCGAGGAATAAGATGGACTCTCGATACTTACTTTATATACCCACGATACAATTTCGTTTTTTCGTCTCTCATTGTGCGTTCCTCCTGAATAGGCCATATGTGAGAGAGAAGGTGATGCTTTTTTTCTCTCTTATTTCACGGCATCGGACGAAAGAGTAGGTCGGAGATGCAGCTACGGCGCGCGCAAAAGTCTTTTTGATCGAATCGAGAGGAGGGAAGGAGGGAGGGAGACGTGCGCGTGCCTCGTGCGATGTAGAACGCGTGCGTATATGGATCGATCGATAAATGCAATTCGGATCTCTTTTTCGCTTCAAAGCGGAGACTGATGCTGATTTATATAAAGCCGAGGCTTCGAAACAGCTTGGTTGGTTGGTTGGTTGGATGGATAGGGGGGAAAAGGATAGGTGTCGGATTGATCGAAGAATCGACGAAAGATTTTTATTTACAATGAAAAAAAGGAGTCAGTAAGGTTTGAAATCGATGGACGACACGTGCTCGGTATTTGAAATTGATAATTTTTCAAGATAAATTTGAAGCCTAAGAAGTAATGGTAAAAAATACAAGCTTACGAATGATTGGAAAAAGTAAATAAATAGTTTTTTATAGAGTTAAAACACAAGCTCGAATCAAGTACATTCTATTGTATTTCTCAGTCTCAAAAGTGCCGAAACGCGACAGAGCGTCGCAGCCGCCGACAAGGTCCAGTGATAAATAGATCGAATTTTCTCAAAATAATCTTACACGCCGAGATTGTCTTTTACACTAGATTATAGGGGTATACGACTCGATGCGCGTCTGGCCGCAACGTCTCGCTCGGTGATGTATCGTCGCGTTAAATCGTCGCGCTGCATACAAAATCAATCGTATATCGAAAATGCACCTCTCGAGGATCCGCGCGCGCATCTCCGATTCAATCGCTGTGGATTTATCGAGTGACAAACGCGCGTGTCCCTTTGACACCGTGACAATGAGCTCCTCCCTCTCTTTCCCTTTTCTTTTTCTCTCTTTCTTTTCTTTTTTTTTTTTGCTCCCTTTTCACGCAGCAGTGAAGTGCTCGAGACGCGACTGCTTCAAGTGCTCGACACAAACACACACACACACAACATCGATCGGCTCGCTCTCCTTCGTCGAAAACGCGTGCGGAATAATGCATATAATGGATTTGAAAGAATGGAGACGTCGCTGCTGTCTTTCAACGTAACATAAAGGTAAGTTAACGCGACCGATCAACCCATATATATAAAAGTATGGCACGGCATTCAATCGATAAAGCAGAGGAGGGAGAAAAAGTAAAGAGAAAAACGTTCGGCATGACTTATATGTCACTCCGACAGAAAATTGAGCTGTTTCGAAATTAGCCGACTCGCGATGACAGCTATACGGGCATCTTTTGTCGTTCGCGCGTGGGTGGATATTTTTTTCCGTAAGCAAACATTTTTTTAGATGAAAATTGCTATCGATGTGCACAAAATTAAAAATCTCTCTCGAGTTCCTCGCGATACTCGGATGATACGCATTATCTGTTGCTTCATAAATTTTGCAGTGCAGAAGGGCAACGCATAAAACTACTCCGCTCGAGTACACAAACACACATACGCTGGGACGCGCGCTGCACAAGTTCTTTTATATACGGAAAAAAACCTATTCATCTAGCTTCCTTTGTCATTGCACGCATACACTCTCATTTTTGTACTTTCTCCTTATTCCTCCCTTTCCCTTTCTTTCTTTTTGATTCGAACTAAGCTCTCGGGTTTTGTACGATTACCGTCGTGCGCGCTGCGCGTTACTGTAAATCGCTTGGAAAAAGTATTTGAAGTACTCTACCGCATTTGTTGAATTCTTTTACAATACGTTTTTTGCATAGTGGCTGTTTTATGTTAAAAATATAACGATCCAAAGCAGAAATTGTAAAAATGTTTATGTTTTTAATGACAAAATTCACAGATTTAGTATAATAACGTCCTTCGTTAAGGTGAAGGAAAATGTAAAATGATATCAAAACAAATTTTCAAGTATATCAATTTTAAAAACTATTAGTAATTAAAATATTCATTCAGTTGAAGTAATATCTTACTCTGCAGTATTAATTGTTAAATAAAGCCAATTGAAAATCTTTATTCAAGCCAATCGTATGCCGAACAGTTTATTATATCTATAAAACTTGAAAACTTGACTATTTCGATCGTGTGTTTACATATAATTGACATTTAGACACCTTGCGGTCGATGTTACATAAAGGTGCTTCATTGGGAACATTTGTTTAATTTATCTAGCATTTTAAAGGACTAATAAGTTAACTCATTGGCTTGGAAAAAGTATTTAACCATATTTACTAAATTTTTTATAATAGAGATTTTTGAAAATGAATTTAGACTTTTTGAAATTCAAAATAGAATATATCGAAGAGTAAAAATTATTGTGGTGTTAATATTTTTGATTGCAGAATATACAGATTCAAGTCGTTTTAATCTTTCATAACTCAAAATAAAAAAAAAAAATAAAAATAAAAAAAATAGGATGAAATTCGGTGAATCAATGCTCGTGTAAAATATATTCTGGTTATTTTAAAATTTTCATTCACTACATCGATTGACTGAGAAAATAACAAGGTCCACGCTTCAAATACAATTTTTCACCGTTTAAAAAAATAAATATATAGATTTCAAAAAGAAGATAGCAATAATAGTGTCGCAAAACCATCACTTCAACAATATCATATGAGTTCATAAAGGTAATAGAATACAAAGTACACAAAAGTATTTGTGGAATCATGAATGAATTTGTCTAGCGACTACTTATCGAAACGCAAACAGTTCCAATGTTATTACAAATTCTATCGAGAAGCTCGCATATTTTCATTGCCAATTCTATTGACTGAAATTCGATTGCTGTGAAATATGATATGAATTGAATGAAACAGTACATTTTATTATCTAGTCAAATCGTATGTATGTACGACTGACAAATATATTTGATTATAAAATTTAAAATGATTATCTTTCGTAAATCAATACATTTCGTAGAATATCGTCGTAGATGATAAAATGACATTTCATTTGGAAAAATTATTACATTCATAATGAGATGATCAAGTTATTTTATAATAGAAAACGAAAATCGTTACGCAATAACCTTATTGAATAATTTTATGATCTTTCATTGTATTCTTGGTAAGATAAAATAATAAAATATGGTGACATTTATATTCAAAATGATTTTTATCAATTCAGAATTTTTTTTAACTCTCATGGATTAATCTTCAAAAATAGATCTATGCTCTTAATCGAGGAGGTGCATCCCCCTTTCGAAATACCAAAGTTCAATACAAATCATCATCAGAACTAGATCGTCCTTTTTTTATATCAAAAGAAAAGTACAGAATGTTTTCAATGTTACTCCGTTGGTACGTATCAAAAAGGATCCATCGGAAGTTTAGCAACCCCTGCACACGCATTTCGAAGATCAACATTTACACATCTGGACTCAGGTTGTCATACCTTTACTTTCTCGATGGAGAGAAGAGGGGGACTTGCCACTTTCGAGTTGAAGGGGACCGTCGTCCGTGCACGTGCGTAGGCACGCGCTCGCTCGCGACAAAGATGTAGCATGCATGCACTCACAACATTCGGAGGGGGAGAATCGTAAAGATAAATAGAGTTGGATTTCTTGCGCTCCGGCAAATGCGTGTAAGCGAATATGTGTACCTATAAAAAAAAACGGGCAGATATACCTTTGTGAAAGCTCCAGGAGAGTGACAGAAATATGTTTTAACTTTTATCTGTTGAGAGTTATGACGAATTTTTATTGGAATTCAATGATGTAACGGAGAGCGCGCACAAAGACCGAGAGCTCTGACTAAGTTTCATTGTTTTCGTAAGATTGTACCTTTAATTCGAGTTGTGTATCATTTGAAACGTGACTTTTGATACTGTTCGAAAATGCTAATATAGCGTTTCATCACTCTTCGTCGAAACTTACAACTAACCACGATTGATTCTTAATTTCTAAAAAATTTTGTGAATAAGCTTTGTTTACGAAGGCTCGACGAAATGATTTTTGCTAAAATGCTTGCATTCGCGCTAAATTTTTATCGATATTACACGAGTGTCATCGTAAAACATAGCGTGACTAAAATCGTCCAACAACCAACTCATTAACGTTCGCTTCGATGCTCCGCTTCGAGCAAATTTGTACGGCGTTGGAAAAAATTTGAATACTGAACCGAATTGTATTTACATTAGATAAATATAAATGAGATAAAAATTATTTCTTCGAGTTGATCTATCTGAGTAAAGTTCAGTACACTTTTTCTATTCATTAGCTGAACAGCTAGTGCTTCTGATTCAATCGATCAAAATTTTTTTAATAGTTTCAATATGTATATAAATTTACCTTTGCGGCTAATTACTTTCATCTTATTAGCTACAGTTTTAATCGACTGCGTTTATACTTTTGGTGAGTTACATCTTGAAAAATATTTAGTAGTAGTAATAGTTATCATTTGCACTATTATATTCATACATTACAGAATTTCTGTCAACCGATGGCGAAGAATGTTTCAAAAAACCCCGACCTTACAAGACTTTCAATGTGAATTTAATTTTTTCTTCAAGAAACAATAAAGATGTTACTGTAGCTCTCAATTCTGGAAAGGAATGGTCACCTCAAAGTATCAAGTCTTTCAATCCAAAACTTAGAACGACAATTATTGTCCATGGTTATTTAGGTAGTGTAAATAAACCAGAAGTCAAAGCAGTAAAGAATGAACTTCTTCGTATGGTAAGTACAGATAATTTTCATAATTATAATACAACCATATGCAGTATTTTACAAGACTTCTATTTTGACAGAAAAATTCCAATGTAATTGTCGTTGATTGGTCTTCTGGGTGCTCTGCATTTGTACCTTACACGCAAGCGGCAGCTAACACAAAATATGCTGCATTACAAATTAAAGAGTGAGTCATAGAATACTATAGATTGATCGTGAAAACAATTTTAAATAATGAAATCCTTCGCAGAGGTCTTATTAAACTAATAAAATTCTGGGAGCCAACGATCGAGTATAAATCATGGGGACTCATACACTTTTTGGGTCACAGTCTTGGATCGCACGTATCCGGTCAAGCAGCGAGATTTTTGAAGGAAGAAGGTTACGAAGTCGAGCGCATTACTGGATTAGATCCAGCTGAGCCTTGTTTCGAAGAGGCGAATGTTCCCTCACACGCACCTAAGCGTCTTTCCCGAGAGGACGCCAAGTTGGTGGACATAGTCCATACTAATGCAGCTCTCACAAGAAATCAGGGTTTCGGGGTTTTAGATCCAATTGGTATACAAAAATATTATTAATATTGACCTTTAATTTATTTTCATGTGTTAAACGTCGCATTTATAAATAGGATTATTTAAGGGCACTTGGATTTTTACGTGAACGGCGGTACAGAACAGCCTGGCTGTAATAATTTTGACATGGAAACTGATACTCTATTCGAATCTGATTTTGAAAATTTATTCACTCGTGAGTATGAAAAATTTCAAGAAAAACTTGAGCTAAGGGGATTTACGAATGATACCTCGCTAATTAAAAATAAATATTTTCAGTCGTTGACAATGGAGTTTGCAGTCACAGGCGTGCAGTAGGACTTTATGTAGATTCGATGAAATTTAGCGCGCATCCTACGTGTAAATTTTGGGGATACAAATGGACCATTGGAAACAATAAACCAACTATTCATAAATGTGAAGAAAATACTTGTCCACAAATGGGTATTAATGCAGAATTATTTAAAAATTATAACAAAGACGCTGTAAATACCTTTTGGGTGGATTCAAGATCTGAGTCTCCGTTCTGTATAAATAGAAAGTGAACATAGTAAACCATTTTTAAAAGAAAATCGAATATTATTATTTAATTAATATCATTCATTTATTTTTCTTGACCATTGCTTATTCAAATTTCTTACAATATAGAAATAATATTTCAATAACTAGATTACACTAAACCAATTATTTTATTTGTTTTGCACGTGGATAATTAAATTTTTAATGAAATCAAATTTTCGTCACTTGTTCAGAAATCGTGTTTCTATAACAATAATGGCACAACTTTGTCACGATAATTTTTAAGTATTTAAAAAAAACATATTTCTTTTCATTTATTCTTATACCATAAACAAAGAGTGAATTAAATAAGTACATTCAATATATAATGATCGTTATTTTGAAAGTGCGCCAATTAATTTTAACGTTATTGTTTTTGAAGATCGCAGGTATAAACCAACATGTTATTTTTAATTAACACGTTTTTTCATTCGTCAATTATTAAAGTATCAAATTTGAATTTACAGCCAAAGTAACGTACGCTACTGTCGATCCATCTCATGTTTATTCCATGATCAAATTTTTAACAATTAATAAAGAATGTTTTCAGAGCGATGTGGTGGATGTCAATGAAAAATTCAAAATTGTGTTATCTTTTTTCTCAACTGATAATAAAAGTGGACAGGACTTGACTCTACCTTTGCGTGCAGAAAAATTACCCTCTCTTCGAAGTTTTAATCCAGACTATGATACTAAAATTATCTCGCACGGATATAAAGGTCACGATCAATTACCAGCTGTCAAGGAACTGACGAAATTATTTCTTCGATCTAAAGTAATAATTTACTACTCGATCTTTTAACAATTTAATTGTTAAGCAATTAGTTGAATGAATCTTTTTATAGAAGCCTGTCAACGTAATAGTGGTGAATTGGAACAAAGGAGCTGAAAAATTGTTGTATAATCAAGCTGCTTATAACACCAAATACACTGCACAAAAATTAGCAGAGTGATATTTTTAATAATATGCATCTAAATGAATTATACAATCTGAAAATCTATTCTAAGATTTGAATTTTTTACGTGTAGAGCATTGAACGTACTGAAGAAACGATGGCCACAAAATTGGAAATCTATTCATCTTATCGGTCACAGTCTCGGTGCACATGTTGTAGGACAAACCGGCCATTTTCTGAAGACGATCAATAAAAACATTAAAATTGATCGCATCACTGGATTAGACCCAGCTGAACCATGCTTTGAAAAATTGACAAAAAACCAAAATTTTCCTCGTTCTCTTTCGAAAACTGACGCCAAATTTGTTGATGTAATTCATTCGGATTCAGCAACTATACCTAATGGTGCTTTGGGACTTTTGCGCCCATGCGGTAAGTAAAATCGTACTAAATATGACACTTATAACTTTCAAGTTAATTGGCCCACATAGGTCACGCTGATTTCTATTTAAATGGAGGAAACAATCAGCCTGAGTGTGACTTTGAAGAATCAAGGGCATTAAATCTGGGCAATCTTGGCTATCATAGTGAGTGAACACTAATAAATCTTTTATAATTTTAAGAGAAAAAAAAATTAATTCTCATATAATAAAAATGTCTTTCCTCAGTTGCACTGCAAAAAGGAATATGCAATCATTTTCGTGCTTTCGACGTCTTTATCGAATCTGTGAAATACAAAGCGGACGCAGATTGTGACTTTTTTGGCGAATCACAAACTTTAGAACCCGATGACGATGAATTAACTGAACCCGATGTAAAAACGTGCTCCAAATCGAATAACTGCCCAAAAATGGGTATAAAAGCTGATAAATTTTCCTATAAATCCGGAGTCCAAAACACATTTTACGTATCGACGAAAAATAGAAAATCAAAATGTAAAAAATATTTTTCGAATCAAGTTGATGGCTATTATTCTAACAAATATAATCCAGGGAATTTTGTAGAAATAGCTCAATCTTACTTCAATAAAATAGGAGATGTAATTAGTTATTAAATAATCGAAAAATTATGCAATTACTTCAACACGTAATATATAGATTTTCTATAAGAATATTGTCACTTTACCACTTGCACATTTAAGGATAAAGGTATTTGCCATCTAGCGGTAGAGGTTTGAAGTATTTGAAAACCGATTTAAATATTATGCAAGAATAAAATCGTCATGTTAATGTAATTTAAAATGCGCTTAATATTTGTAACACAATTGTAACGAAAAAATTGACAAGAACTAGCCAATTAATGGCAACGTATAGTAAAAATCATTTTTAATGGTCATTTTTTGTCATCAGGCTAACATTTGTATTGAGAATTCCAAAGAAACCATAATTTTTTTTTATCTTCAAATAATTCAACTTTGGTGGAGGAAGCAAAAGGTAAAAACTAGAACAAAACAAAAATCCACGCGCTGCTTTTCTCGTAATAACCATACGTCTCCCCTATTAAAAGCAAATAAATCAAAACGTATCCTAGATCGCCGACCGTAAGCTTCCTACGCAGTCACTACTAAAATTTCCCTTATAATACACCCCTGATGCTGTATACCCGGCTATATACAACTCTGCCCCTACTTTTTTTTTTTAAATTCGATCCTCCGGAAGGCTTCCTTATAACTTTCTCTCTTTTTGCTCTGTCTCTCTCTCTCTCTGTCTCGCTCCAAAGTCTCGTACGTGCGTGTGTATGTGTACATATTAAACACGACGAGGGGTCGATAAAACCGGGCCTCGTATCCTGTTGCACTACGCTCACACAGACAACGCACGAGTTGAAGTATAGCCGCGTGTATACGTGTATGTGACATTGTAGTGGTGTAGTGAGTCTTTGAAGCGCGTCATACACCCAATCCGGTTAGTTACTCTTCGTAGCGATATTAAAAGTACGCGTATGTATGTATGTGCGTGTGTGTCTATATATATACGTGAAAACCCATACAAACCATTTTCAACTGTGCCGTTATATAACTTATATATATAAGTGAGCACACACACACATTCGCGTATAATATATATACCGAAAAATTCGGGATCAAGCTCCACTTTATAAGTAGGTCGGCTTACTGCTCTCATTCTATATATTTTTATTCTTCTATTTTTTTTATACATACGCTCCTAGCATATAGTCTCCTCTCTTTATTCTGTGGGGTACCCTATGATCCGCTACTATATGTGTATACGTACGCTCCTCTTCTTCCTGTTAAGCCGCGTATAGCTGCTCTCTCGGTGCTGTCACTGAATTTTCGTGCGCGGAGTACGTACGCACCCGTAGATACGACGATGTATGTGCGTATATACATTGTACGATACGATGTGTGCGCGTATAAAATTTATGCCTATCCAGTGTTATGGGCTCTTCGCCTCGTTTTTTATTATTATTCTCTCTTCTTTTCTTTTTTTTTTTATCTCTCGTGTTCCTGCGTCTAATACTTATAAGCCCCGAGCGAATGCGTCTTTGAATGCTTCCTACGGGTGAAACGTGCACTGATACCGAGCCCGAGAGTGCGAGGGTTGATTATGGTTTAACGCACCGCGCAACGTAACGTTTCTAGTCTCCTTTAAGATCTGTTTTTTTTTCGTAAACTTCTAATCTATAAGGTACACTGTAACGTTCAAAATACTATATCATGCTGTATAAATCATTCTTTATGTTGAAAAATTACCATGAATTTTAAAACACGGGTAAATTTTTTTTCTTTTTTAGGGCCATTCGTTCAGAAAATAAGAGAGAAAAAGATTTTCCCACCTGCGAATGAAAGATCCTTGATGAATTTCTTTTTTACAAAAAATCTCTGCTAAATAAAATAAAATATTCTTCTCAATCTTTGACATATGTTGTACATTGGTATGTATACATTTCTAAACACTAACTATGGGCTAATTTGTATGTTTACAATTTTGTGTAAACAGTCTTTTGCCCTAATTGCGTGTCTTTGCTTCATGGAGCAATAACGGACGAACAACATAATTAACGAATAAATGACTTTAGTTCATCCAAAATCTTCGCGTTTGCTTCACACTTAGCCGTTAGCTCTCCGACGTTTTTGGCTATAGTAAAAAAATGATGGATAAAAGTTTAGGAATCATCAAACGAAAAACAAAGAAGAAAAGATACTACTTGACAAAGAAAACTCTACTTTGGAAATGTTGGACGGAACAATTGAATGGAAACGGGATATGCCGAAGCAGAATGTCGACCGAGGTCGAAACAGGGCCAACTTTAACATTTTTGAAGTTGCCAGAAGCTTACAAGAGCTGCTCTCAGCTTTATCTAAATAAGGAAGAAGCAGAAGAAGGCTCAAATAAATGTTGGGAGACACATACACATATGCAAAACTCACGGAACCTTTCAGAGGCAAGTAATTGTAATCATAGTCCTGCGCCACAAGCAGAACAAAACTTATGGAACAGTCAAGAGGCAAGTAATTATGATCATAAGCATGTACCACAAACAGAAAAACGGTTGCGGAAAAACAGTCCGTTGGCTAGTTTTATCAATGATGGGCCTGCTGAAATGCCAAATGTACAGGATTGCTTGGAAGATTTGCAATCTCTATCTATTAATCAAGAGAATAATACATAATTTATGCTAATTTTAATAATGTAAAAGAATCGCTGCGTAACAAAAATCTCATCACTTGTGCTTAATTTTACTAACAGTTGCATTCTCTAATACTGTAATTTTATTTTAATATCATAATATCATATATGATTCTAATCATGACGACACTATTAATTTAACCGAATTAGAATATTTTCTACTGTGGTAAAAATACTTAACATTAATAAAGACCTAATGACCAAAAAATTGCTGCTTAAAAATTTTTTAAATACATTATTATTAATTGGCTTGTTTTTGTTGATTATATTACAAATATTAGGCACACTTAAATTATCTGAAAATGACAATTAAATTGTTTTTAAAAAATTTTTGTCGGATTTTAATCACTTTGAATACGATAATACCACTTTAAACCTTTACCACTAGATGGCGAGTACCTTCATCCTTAAATCTCTAAGTGTCAAAGTAAAAATAACGGTATAAGTATAAGACACTTTGCATGCATCAGTAAGTTTAATGTAAAATTAAATTTTAAAATTTAAGTAATTGATACTTCATTTTATTTTATTTACACGAAATATCATTTGAAAATTAATGTATAAGTACTAAATCATTTTCATGTCTAAACTGCATAAATAAATTGAGAATAAAAATGAATGAAAATGATTTGATTTCACGCTAATACTTGAACGTTTTCATAAAAAGTTGACGTTTTGATACTGATTTATCTTTCGCAAAAATTGCATAAATAATGAAAATTCAATCATGATAAAAATCAGCCTTCACCGGTAGATGGCGAGTACCTTCATCCGTGAATCTCTAAGTGGAAAAGTAATAATAACGGTATAAGTATAGGACACTTTGCATGCATCAGTAAGAAGAATGGTTTTTCCTTGATTTGATCTAAAAGGGTATGTGAGTTTATAAACTAAAACCGACGATTTTTTGAAATTGGACTAACCTGATAAACTCGTACCTTTTATCCGGACTGTAACGGATCGAGTATTATATATAAGGCACTCGATACGGCAAGTCGAGAAAATCATTTAATAAGTAAATAAATTTAATTGCCGTTTCGACAAAGAAAAAACGGAATCGTCACGAACGCTCGGAAAAAGCAATTATATACTATATCTCTGCTATTTTTCAAAATCCATATACGTGTGTGCCATCCACGTCGCTCGCGCTCGCCACAGTATTCCTTTTTTCTCTCTTTCTCTCTTTCTTTCTTCTTTTTTTATCTCCGACGCACAAAGGAAAAACTGGTCGCAAGTACGCGCGACCCTTCCTACATCGCATACATACAGCCCGAGCACGCACAAGACGCGCGCGTCACGCACGCACGGTAATGCGGCAAATTCCACCTATACTTATACACGTACATCCACGTTGTTACAATATATCGTGTATATATATATATATAAAGAGCAGCTTCGCTATGCTTTATGCGAAGGAGCTTGTATTTTATTATTATTATGCGTAAGCGGCGCGTGGCTCTTACACCCCACCCTATCTTCTACCATCGTCGTCGTCGTGCGCGGCAGCAGCAGCAGCGTGACTTTGTATACCCACCTGGCCGCTTCTCTCCCCTTTGCGAGAGACGACCAGAGTTGGGTCCCTCGATTCTCGTACTAACTCAGCCGTAACCATTTCCACGCGCGATCGCTCGCCGTTGTAAAATACGCGCGATATCGAATAAACCATTTTTCCATACCCCCGAATTATACGCGATGATTACGTAAAAATATTTGTAGCATATCGATCGGGTCGCAGCGAGATACGCGGAGATAGCGCGAGGATACCAGGAAGCTGCGTGTACACACATACCGATTTCGTGCTTGCCGCACCGGAGAATTAATGAAGTTGGCGCGGGGTGAAACACACGCACGCACGCACGCACACACATGTGTTGTATTATAGGGCCCAGAGCCTGGCCTGCTGCACAGCAGCCCCGCTCAATGTATATATAGATATATCGTATTTGAAAAAAACGCACGCGACCGACGCTCCCCGCCGCCGCCGCCACCGCCCCGAAACTCACTCGCTATACTCGCTTTTGCTTTTGCGCGCGCGCGCGCGCGCCTGAAATTCAAACCGTCCGGCGCTCGGCGGCGCAGAGAGAGAAAGAGAGACAGGCGCGCGCGCGCTATAGGGCGGCGCGAAACCAACGCGTGTATATATATATATATTCGTATGAGTAAGAGAGAGATAGAGAGAAAAAGCAGCGTGACTCGTGAGCCGGGGCCTATTACGCGGAGAGAGCGGGGCTGCTCCGCATTCGACGCAGCGCCGGCATGCAGGGCAGCACGCGCGCAGTTGGTCGTCGTCGTCGTCGATCGATTCGATCACGGTCTGCTGTAATACTACCACTGCTACTACTACTGCTACAGCGAGTGAAACAAAGATAAACAAGTTTTACTGGTGCAGAGTTTCTGTGTGTGTGTGTTATACGTGCCACTGCTACGAAATCGTGTGTATATACCGACGAAGACTCGCCGATGATAATTATTCAAAAAAAAAAACGTGCTCCGAAAGTGTCTTGCAGTCCTCCGTGTGTTACTTTTGTGCGTTACAACCCCTATGTACCAGTGCTCGCTCGACGTCCAATGGTGCTGTTCGGTGATTATTTATATAATTTCTTCGAATTATATGTAGTTTGCACGCATGCGAGCAAACGCCGGGCGAAATTGAGTCATTAATAAATGTGTGAGTCGTCGTCGTCTCGTTGGAGATATAATCCTACCAATCAAAATCATCACCGTGTACAAGATCTTGGGTCGTCTCTGGCTACTTGCGAAAACAAACAAAAGTGCCTCGTACAGCTCGTTTAATGAAACTTCCTTGCGCGCGCTCGCGCGAGAGAGTGGTGAATCACATGTATGTATATGAAAAAAAAAGTTGTAAGTTAAGTGCCTCGAGAGAAAAAAAGAAGAGATAAGTAATTATTAACGAGAGCCAAAAGTGCTTCTGTGCGTGCCTGTGCCTGTGTGTATATCCGTGTGTTTAATAAAGTTGTGGTATTTCAAAAGAAAAAGCCCAAAGGGTGTGCAATAATATATAAAAGCTCGAGCAAACCGATCCGATGATTATCAGCATGTCAACGGCGATGGGCGTACCGGTGGTGTTCGGCAACAATAACAATAACGGCAATGGCGAACAGTTGATGCTGCTGCGCACGTTGCAGGACAACGAGCACAACATCATCGGCAATAACAATCGCGTCGTCGTGACGACCACCGGGACGACGCAGCCGGCCAGCAATAATAGTTCGCCCAAAGGTGGCGGCAACGTGAGCGTCATTCAGTCGCAGCGGAAGAGCAGCGAAAAGAGCAACAACAACAACAACAACAACAACAACAACATTAACGGCAAGCGGAAAATCGCCGACGTCGACGAGCCGCTGCCGCCCTACGACCCGGCCAGGCTCAAGAAGCACGGCAAGAACGGCCAGCCGCCGCCGATCGCCGTTGCCAAGAGGAACGCGCGCGAGAGGAATCGCGTCAAGCAGGTGAGAGAGAGAGAGACGGTGTACACAGAGAAGGGTGAAGCGCCCACGAGGATGGATCGGTAGTTGTTTTTTTTTTTTTTTTTTTTTTTTATTATTTTTTTAATATAAGCATTGGCTTCCTGAAACAAAGGCCCGAATATCGAGCAATACACACGGGGGTGCTATTGATTTTATTCGGGAAACCAAAAATCCGGGGAACCCCTCGGCCGTTCATTACAATAATAGGCGAGAACGTGTCTAGTCACGTTCGCTAACTGACTGTGTGCTCCGCATTGTATTATATTTTGACTCGTGTATCTTTGTTGTACGTATGTATGTGTGCGTGCGATCGATAACACTTTCATCTTTTTTTTTTCCAACTATCGCGTCCCGCGAGCAGCGCCCTACTATCTCACCTTTGTGCTCCGAAAAGATATATCGCGTTGTATTTCCTACTATTGCGGAAGTAGCGCGACTGCCGCGAGGCTTTGATTATCCAAAAATGGAATTTAATTCTCGATAACGCGACGTTTTAATTTAGCTTACGTAACGAGCACGAAATATTGCACGTACTGATTTTTTCGCGCTGCTTGGCTCAGGTAAACAACGGCTTCGCCACGCTGCGCCAGCACATACCCTCGCAGCTGTCCCAGACCTACGGCGACCGGGGCAAGAAGCTGTCCAAGGTCGAGACGCTGCGCATGGCCGTCGAGTACATACGGGGCCTGCAGAAGCTCCTCGCCGAGGCCGACGGCCTCGATCCCAATCAGCAGCAGCAGCAGCTCATGTCGATCGAGCAGAGCGCCCAGCAGATCATGATACCCTCGCCCTGCGGCAGCGTCTACTCCCAGAACGGCGGCGGCGGACAGCACAACGGCTCGGCCGAGCAGCTACTCGGTCTGGACGAGTCGCAGCAGCAGCAGCAGCAGCAACGGCAACATGGCTTGGGTGAGCTGGAGGATAATTCGGGGCTGGACGACGGCGCCGGGCCCGATGCCTACGGGAGCTTGATGGAGGACGAGGACGAGCTCGACGCCAGGAGGGACGTGAAACGATTCAAGCTGGACGCCCCGATACAAAACAGGTAGGTCTTTTAGATACGTATTATACTCGATACGAAATTAAGGGATGGCAACACAATGCGTGTGCTTTTTTCTCGCTGAAACTTGACTCGAGACGAGTTTTCTTCTTCCTATTCTACTCGGGGACTAGTTTCGAGATATATTTGCATACTTATACTCGGAGAGTCAAGTCTCTATAAACGAGTGTATAACAACGCACGTACAATATGTGACATAGTTGGTAGCTGACCCAGTTATTATTACGTTTAAATTCACTCGTTACAATACAAGCTTTTATCGACGATCGTAAAGATAATACGGTACGCTATCGAAATCTCAAGAAAAAAAAAAAAGTAAACACGATGTACAATATAATTTGTGTGTCCCAGGTTATCCAACAACAACGGCCAGCAAAAGGTCATATTCCGCCGAAATCGTCTCGCCTCGGCGGACACGGCCACGTCCGTAGTGTACCTGCCGAAGCAGAGCTTCATAGTCGGCGACGAGGAGAACATCGAGCCGCTACCGAATAGAAATAACAACAACAACAACAACAACCTGTTGCCGGCGTTTTCGACGTCGCTACTACTGCCGCAACAGCAGCAGCATCAGACACTGACGTCGCACGTCAAGCGCGAGCTGAGGCTCGACGAGGAGGATGAGGAGGACGAGCTGAGATCGAACGAGGACGACAGCGGGATCATGCTGACGACCTCGACGTCGCCTTACAGCGCCACGGAGATCCTCGTGGAGAATCCGGAAACGGGCCGATTGGTGCCGCTGAAGATCGAGGCTCATCATCATCAGCAACACGAACAATTGCTGCAGCATCAACTGCAGCAGCAACAGCAGCAGCAGCACCATCATCACGAGACCGCGGCGCAGCTGGTCTACGTCGAGGGTCTGCCCGCGGCGGCTTACTACAGGCACGAGCTCGAGGCTGTGCCCAACGGCAGCGAGCTCATGGACGCCGTCAACTGGTGGGAGCCCGTCGATCATCATCAGACTGCCAACGGCGGCAGCAACACGAGTACGACGAGAGGAGGATTGGGCCAACTGTCGAACCCGCAGCAGCAGCATCATCATCACAGGCTGGCGCACGTCTGACCTCGAATACAGCTTGTAACACACTCGCGAATTTGAGGTGAGTGCGAGTTTTTTGGGATAAGAGTGGCTGCGGCGCGCGACGACATGTGGAAGGCGAGCGAATACCAGAACAGCTTTTAGTCGATCGATTCTCGAGCAGAAATTTGCTATATACAGATTATCGTTCTCTCCGTTCGGTTTTGGGCAAAAAAAAAAAGACTATCTAGGCGATCGGTGGAATCGCTTGGATTCATTTGCATTAGTTTTTAATCTTAAAAATAAATATATCAAACTTATTGGTAACCGGCAATTTTCTATTCGAAAGAATTATCAAAAAATGAAATGACATCTTGCGCGCGCAGAGAAGAAAGGGTATAATATAATAAGGAGTAATTTATATCTCGACGTGACATCTGTTAGACGATGGATATATATATATATATATCGGTTAGAAATTAAAGGCCGAGCGCATATTAGTGCATCTGTCGAACGAGTCGAGCCGAAAAAAATTCATTTTGACAAATACAATAATAAATTCCATGTTCGCTGACCATCGTCTGTGTATTACACAAATGTTACGTTACTGCAGATCGTGTTTATGTACAAAAGAGAAGATGCGTACAATCGCGATGAGTCAAAAAGGATTTTTTTCGCGTCGCAGGTACTACAAATAATGACACGTCATATTGGGAAAATAACGAAGCTCATTGTTCGCGCGTAAGAGGAGCATTGAAATTAACAATAATATACATGTTTTCTCTTTCTCGGATCATACTTTTTTTTGGGTAAACATTTCCATGTGAAAATACACTACTGCTATATACACTGTAGGCTTCGAAAGAAACCATTGTCGAGCGCGCGTGATATCTTCTTCTACTTCTTCTTAAAAAAAAAAAGATTCAAATAAAAAACACTTCTAAAGTATCTTTTTATATTTATATACATTTATATGACTTTCACAAACACGAACACGTGAACATACAGCATACACGCAACATTTATACGGTACTCTAGATGCAGAGCATGTAAATCGAGACGCGAGCGCCGAAAATAGAATTGTCATTACTCCGGTGGGCACATACATACGAGTATGCACAGCAGCAGTAGTATAGTCTTGTATAGTGCACAGGCCACCACTTAAGATCGCCCCCGCGACACGTGGCATCTCATATATATATATACTACGAACGCTTCCTTAATGCTCGTGTATATACGATAATCTCTCTGCGTTCGTGAGACGCGCAGGATCTTTCCGTTCTGGTAGGATGACGATGATACTAGGCCGCTGATGACTGAAGTGCGAGACGATAAGTGTGAGATTTTTTTGTCGCGACGCGGGAGGGTGAAACTGACTTCTCTGACATGTGGCGCTTGCGAGCTGGCACGATCTATTGGTAAACACTTTTTTTGTCGCTTTATTTTTTGACAGAAAAAAATGTCGTATGCAAGTTTGCTTCTTTTTTTCATTACTTTCATTTTGGAAGCGAAATGAAAATTCCCGAATAACTCGTTCCGATAGTGTACACGAACAAAGAATCAAACGCTTCGAAAAAAAGAACTTCGCACCAGCAATAATAATTTGGTTTCTCGAAAACAATGCTCCAATTCATGGGTATACCTCTTATGTACACACACACACACACACACACACACACACACACGCATATAAAATGTGCGTTTCTGGCTGGCAACCTACATCGAGTTTTTTTTATTTCGTGGACTTAAAAGCGCTTAAAAGGCCCGCGATGTACGCGTACGTCTATATAGGTAGCTGTGTATGTATAAGGCTGCCTCTCTCTACCTGTGCACGAGCTACTACCTACAGAGAGAGAGAGAGAATCGTGTGCGCGAGGCGGAAACGGTCCAGCGGGAGATTCGCGCCATGTGTTACCGGAAGCTTTGGAGCTGTGCTCGTCGTCCTTTCATCCCGCGGGTACGGTACACGGTATACAGTACACGTACACGAGCGCGCGCGCCTTTCAATGAAAAACCGGGTACGCGCACTCGCACACGCACACACACATACACATACGCGAAGCGAAACGTGCACTTAAAGGGCCCTTTTTAGAGGCAGCTACTGGCAGTACGGCACGGCACTGCTATACACTTTATTTTTATTTTTATTTTTATTTTTTTTATATTAAAAAAGAGAGCGAGACGTTGTTACATTACGTATACTTGCACTCGTTCCCGATGAAAACGAAAAATTTACATGAATGGGGTCTCTCTCGCTCTCTGGAGCGCATTTGTGCAGTTTTGTGCGCTGCTGCTCCGCGCGACGATCTTTCGCGAGAGCCGCCGCCGCCGCCGCGTCCGTCATTGTTGCCCCCAGAGCGAACACAGGAAGTCGGAGCTCGGGCCGGAGCTCAATTGTTTTCGTAGTGGCTAGTACTAGGCGATATTTTACACAACATTCCGGAAGGTAGTAGTAGGTACTATCAGCTCTCGGCAGTCGCACATCCTGACCGCTCTCGCCTATTCAAAATTGCCCTCGTGCATCGTACAGTACGCTCGCTCGACGTATATAAATAAAAAAATTAAAAAAAAAAAAAAAAAAAAAAGCATCGAATCATTCTCTCGTTGAGACTAGCTCAAAAAACGAGTCCTTTCCCTCTCTGGCTTTTCTGCACTATACAGTCAAAGAGTGCAACGCCGACACTCACCCTTCAGTGCGCGGAGAACATCCGGGGGGCCACAATACATTGCGGCGGGCGATCGAAACGTAACGAAAATTCGCGCGCGAATTTGGTCGAAGGGTAGTTAGGTAGGCACGAGTTTCAAAAGTAACCCCGAGTAATCCCCATAATATACGTAAAACGTCTTGGAGCTCTGCGCGCCGAATCCGTATTATTATACACGACCGAGCGGGCTCGTGTGCATCGAAATTCGCGCGCGCGCCGCCTGCAGAAACGGAACGGAGTCGGAATCATCGTGTATGTGTCGGTGGCACTGTATACCGTGCTTGCACGCAGCGGTATAAACTCCTATAGCTTACATTATATACACACACACACACACACATATAGAGCGCAGCAACAGCAGGAGAGCGCACCGCGCGGCATATGGCGAAGAAAAAGAAGTTTAAAGTCTGTGCGTGGACGAGCGAAAGAGGCAGCTCGCGCGGGGTCATAATATGCCGCCGTCGCCGTCGTCGTCGCTCGTCGATGTGTCTCCTGACTCGATGCCATATGTTCTGCTGCTGCTCCTTCTCTCTCTCTCTCTCTATCTATTTATCGTAGGCTCTCTTTTTCTGGCCAAGGTCGCGCCTCCCAGAACCTCACCGGCTTAGAGAGAGAGAGAGACGGAGAGAACCCGAAAGCACGTGTGCAGCGTGTAGGGTATTGTGTGTAGTATGTATATATAGGGGATGCGCGCGTAGTCGAATGCATGCCTCGGCAGTTTCGAGCTGCAGTTCACAAAAGAGACCAAGCAGAGTCGTGAGAAGATTCGCTTGGGGTAGAGAGAGGCCACGATATATTTCGCGATCTTCGTGCATTTTTCGGGACGCGAACATATGGCCGTCGGTGTCTATGTACTCCCTTATATATTCTTCTTCGCATCACGCGCGTTTGTATATATAATGCAGGATATTTTTAGCAGAGTCGAGTAGTAGCGATAGAGAGAGAGAGAGAGAGATGCATTTTTCGGGAAAAAATTTCAATCAAGCGTAGAATGAGATATGTGCGTATTTTAAATAGTGTACAAAACACTTGTTTAACGATATTAATTATTTACACGAATAACAATAATTATCTTATCGTTGAGAAACAAATGATTTCTACGAAATTCAATATCTCGTTTTTTTTCTCTACCAAAGATTAGAGATATCTCGAATCATTTCGATTACGCTCGAGTTGAGCGTAACAAGAAAAAAATGAACAGCCCCGTGGTGTACGTCGCGTGGTTAAAGACATTTAAATGCTGAATTACGCGCGTAAGTGTTTTTGTTAAAAAACGTTTCTTTTTATTTTATTTCATTTTTTTTTTTCAAGGTCCACGTGCTTCTCGTTAAAAAAAAACGCGTGTGCGCGCGGGCGGCCGGGACGAGACAGGAAAATGTCTCTCTTTACAAGCCTCGATAACCCTCGTGTTCCCTCCCGAGCACGCGCTAGGCATGCAAAATATTATATACACTTATATGTGTACGTAAGCGCGGCGCGTGCATTAATATATACATGCTGGCTCGGCGGCGGCACCCGCATGTCTCTCTCTCTCTTTCGGCTCTTCTTCTTCTTCGCTTTTAGCTTCTCTTCCTCGTTCCTGTCCTTTTTCCCTATGTACGTGTACCGTGTATATACTCTTGTAATCACTCGCGTTGTGGTGCACGGCAAATTGTCAGCTACGAAATGTTTTTTATTTTTTTTTATTTTTCTAAACCTTGACACTCGCGTACGATATAGATATCGGTAACAAAATAAAAGCACAATGAACGCAGTCAGAGGATCGACATCAAAGCCATAGGCACCGAAGTAAATTCGCAAGGTGACTTGGATTTGATAATAAAATCGCACGACCAAAGAATTTTTTTCGTTTACAAAATACGACAATTATAAAATATTAGCGCGATGAGCATTTAAAAAAAAAAAAAAAAAAAAAAAAAATTAAAGTGCTGTTGGTGCGTCAAGTTGCTAGAGTCTTAAGTACTGACTAACCGAGCGCGCGCGCACGGGCACGAGAGCCGTCTCGGAATTACTTGAAGCAAATTTAATATAACACTCATTCTCATTTGACGGTATACGCACGCACGCACACACGACAACAGTGGCCATTTAGCGAGAATCAAAAATGTGCACGCAAACAAGAAAGAAGCGCGAGAAGAAAGTCATACATACGCACGAACTGCTTATAATAATACATGGAACTTGGTTGCTATCTCGTTAAAAACATCGTGCGCTAGCTTTTTTATACATCGCGTTGCTTGATTTTTTTCGATGAAAAAACTGGAAAGCCTCGCGTATAATCAGCGGCAACTGGGCGTGCGATCGGGGACCTACTGCCGCGCGCGCGCGCAAAGGAAAACGCAAAAGTTCAAAGTTAAAGCGGTTAAAGAGGCCGACTCGAAAAAATATTAAACGAGCCCTAAGTGACGCGAGAGAAGGGGAGAGAGAGCAGCCGCTTCTTCTGCGCGGCCGGGGAAGTCAAATTTATTAAATGTATCTGTCGCGTCCTCTCGTCGACGTAAAATTGCTATCCGCGCGCGCGGCTTTAAAAGAGAGTGACCTCCACTTATGGCAATTGTGCGCGAGAGCTAATTTAGCTCGCGATGTATTTTATATACAAGGTTCTGACTGTATTATTGCAGTGTGACACACGAATGTACTTGTAACTACTTGCATTGTAAAGTTCTATAAAAATTTGGTTCTTCAAACTGAACATTGCGATTCAATATATAGGTCATTCGTGGTACCATCGACGTCGATTAATTATTCGTTCGATCGAGTTTGATCGTATTTTTAATTTTATTTACGTAATATCTCGAGTACCAAAGATCCTCTATGAATGACGTATAGGTTCCGCCTCGTCCCGGAAAAACGATTGCCACTGTACTACGTCTCAAAACTTACGAGAGCTATCCTCTCGAATTTCTCATCCGAGACACGTATATATTCCACTCGAGTGTCTACTACTACTACTACGCCTCTCTGCTGCTATATTGCGTCACAACAACAGCAGCGGCGGCGGCACAGAAATAAGATATTATAGTAGATTTTTACCCCTTGGGAGGGATTTTTCACACTACACTATCATATCAGAAAGGCGGCCCCGCGAGATTTTCCCACGCGTAACTGCGCGCGCACGTGCATCGGCGTATAAAATAATAATACTATTATTGGCATCGTCGTCGTCGTCGTCGTGGCAGGCAGTATAGCAGCAACGAAGGATCGACTCGAAGATTTCTTCAGGTAGTCGACTAGTAGACGCGTATCCGCGCGCGTTTCGTATATATACAATAACAAAGAAATAACGCAGGAGCCGTGCGCGTTACGCTCATCGCGCCCGAGGGGAGGCGAAGCACAACAACCAACCCTCAACTCAAACTCAAACACACATACACGCACACTTGGGTCTTATTTGCGCGCAAACGGTTATGGCGTAGGCACTCATTCTTTTGGGACCAGGAGGGCTCTTTTTCTCTCTCTCTCTCTCTCTCGCTCTCCTCGCTTCGGGGTGAATTTCGTATATACCAAGATAAATATATGAGAAGGTACGGTTGAGGCATGCGATGAAAAGACTTTCGTTGCGGACGTTATCTCTCTCTCTCTCTTTGCGCCGGGTACAATAATAGAGACTTTTTGCACGCGCCGAGTATGTGTAGCTGCGACGCGTTACGCGAGCTGTAAATCAAAAATCGTTTGTCTGTGCCTTCGATATTTTCGATCGTTCGTAGTCGTCGTCGTCGCGCCGATGCTCATGCATCGTGCCGTTAGAGAGCGGAGAAAGAAAGAAGAGAAGAGAGAGAAAAAAAGTTTACGCTCCGAAACGCGCCGAATTGATGAAGCGTGGAGCAGCGGCAGCAACAGTGACACTATTAGCTCGTAAATAGCCCTAATACGCGCGCACGGACGAGAGACATTTCCGAATGCATTTGTCATTCGGGGGGGCCTCTAGCGCAAGGAGGAGACATATATTATTCGATGAAGAAAGATATTTTTTTTTTGTCGATCGGTAATACGGGGGCCGTGGAAAGTCGCGCGAATGTCGAATTATACTAGCTACGTGCGATATACCTGGCGCGCACGACACACAGTGGCTCGATATATCAGAGCAAAATTTAAATATAATTATATTCCGAAAGTCGTTAACAAACAGTAGCGCGCACATCTGTTCTCGGGTGTGTTTGCGTTCGTGCGCAAGCACAGCAAGTCAAGCGCGGGGGTGCGACGAGGGGGTGTAGGGCAAAAAAATTCCGTAAAAATTATATCACATTCGCATTATTTTCCCACACTTTATCTCTCTCTCTCTCTCTGTACTCCCGTACATTAATTCGTATATCACAACCAAGCGATCTCACTAATCTTTTTTTTCTCTCTTTTTCATGTGTTGCAGTGTGTGCGTATCGACGAATCGGTCGTTGTTTTTTTTTTCTACTACTCGAGTGAGACCGACGATCATATACGTGCGGCGAACGACCGTTACACACCGAGTTCTCTCTTCGCACCAGCGACCTTTGTTGTCTAAAAACTCGCATGCAGCACGGCTACCATAACAAGTGTCAGCGAGCAAAAGGAGAGGGTTGAAACGCGCAGCGGAATCCCAATGCAACTACTTGCGGAGAGTACCCGAGAGAAAGAGAGTTTCACGAGTGATTGTGCAAGTGCGTCTGTACGGAAATGCTGCCCTTTTTTTTTTACTGTATATATTCCGATGAGTGGATGCTGTATACGCGTGTAACGAGATGTTGATCGTTGCGGAATGAGAGACGATTACGTTTTTTTGTATAGAAACTATGTACGATGTACGTCGAGTTATTTTTTTTTTGAAACAATGTGACTCCTTAGCGAAATATTTTTTATGACTTTATACGCGCAATATTGTTGTAATATTAAAACTTCCATGAAGCAGAAGCGAGCAAATATTTGTTCGAGCCGAAGCACGAGCGAAAATTATCGAGCTTTTGGAAATCAAAAGGAAAATAATGATAACTTCCGTAATGATTCTTGATTACTCGAGCGAGTATACGGAGGAAAAATCTCAAAAAAATCTTACACGTTCTCTACTGTACTTACTTTTTTCACCATGACTCTAGAGAATTTATTATTAAGTTAATAAAAAAATTACATATTTACGTGTACATACGAAGAGAGAGTTTGAGGTGTTTAGATATTTTTATACTTTATGTATTTTTAAAAAACAAATTAAAAGTTAAAAAGGTAACTGTACTTCCATTGTTTGTACTATTCCAGGTGATAAAAGTCTATATTTTGTCCCTACGAAACATACGAAATGCCTTTCGAAATTTGCCTTACTTAGGATCGATGCGATTTAAATTATGAATACAATTTTTATATTATGGTGATAATGTATATTACATAATGTTCAGCGTCACGTCGGAAATTGTTTTGTATCAAAGCAATCATTGTATTTCTCGACGTTGCGTAAAATTCTGTACATATCGTTAGAAGTTTTTTTTTTATCAAGGTACAAACACATTTCATCAGAATAAACGAGCTCCAAAGACGAATGAGAAAAATGTATATAATTTAGCTCTGTTATGAAAAAAAGTTGCTTGAAAAATTGCTTCGATTTCGTTGAAGTTTATACTTAAAATGTGAAATGTTTTCTTCGCGAAGAGAACATCAATTACGAGCAACGATCTTCATTATCTTTTATAATTAAACTTATCAAAAGATAAACGCTTTCTAATCATAATGTTAATATTATCGAGAACAAAATCTGTATCATAGTGCCTTAGAATATAAATTTTTTATATTTCAATATTTTATACTCTCATAGTGTTCGATATTTTTTAAACGAAAATTCTTAATAAATAAAATTATCGATAATTCATGACCAATTATTTTCCCCGTCTAAGCCTTATTTTACAATAAAAAAAAACACACGAAAAGAATGCGTTTGAACTATTTAAATTGAAACGAATACGTCGCAACATTTGTTTTCGATTCAAATTCAAAAGTTTGTATTGAATATTTAATTAGTTTCTACACTTTGATTATTAAGCGACGTGAGTAATTCGAACGGGGACACGTGCAAACAAAAAATTTCCTATGATAAATAACGAAAACGCTCAACTTTTTATTCGATGATGCAATAAATATATACGGTCTATATAATTAAAGGCTATAAAAAAAAAAAAGGAAAACAAGTAATTTACTGATCAAAAATCGAACGTAATTACTCACACGAGCGCTGGGCCCCCCCAATGAATTTCCGAGAACCGTAAACCATTTCATTTCAACGAGGTAATTTCAAAACGCAACCAAATTCCTTGCAAAAGTGTACGTATAAGCGAGCAGCACAGGTGAGTACACGCATTACGTACGCGATACCATACTCAACCCCCTTCAAAGCAGGTATACATATAATCGATAACGCACCTATAGAGCTGGAGCCGCGTTCAGGTGTAGTCGTGTCTCTCACCCCTTCGCGAAACGGGGGGTTCACCCGATTTCCGGCGATTTTTATAGATATCTACTATGCGTTTGTATGTGTGCCAGAAGGGGTTTGCACGCCGATACGCGCGTCACATCCGGCGGACGTGCCGCGTGCGTCCCACGCACCGTTACGTTTTTATATTGTACCGACAGCGGGAGAAATGATATTAGCTCTCGTTCCACCCCGTACTTTTTTTTAATTCGATCGAGATGATTATCCTAGTAATCGTTAAGCTCTACGATAGCGAATGTGCAAATTTAGACGTACGGACGAATTAATGTATTCATATCGAGGTAATAATTCAGGCAAGCATTGAACCTTGCAGTAATGTCGAGGGGTTTTTAAATGTAAAAAAAAAATGTGATTGTACCGAGTTAGCCAACATTTTCGATTATTTTCATTCAAAATCGACGTGGATCAATGAAAAATTACGCGCATGGAAAAGGACAGAAATTAACGCGTATCGAAACTAGAGCAGTTGGATTTTCATCTACACCAAAATTACGCGAGCACGAAAATGACCAAAGTATATTTGCGATGCAAAGCGTCTTAGTTAATGCACACGAAGACGCAGTAAGGTCATTGTGTAAATGTGCTCGACTTACGGAATTTTTCGTGAAAATTCGATTTCGCTATAAAACTCCCTACTCCGTCGGTCATCTGAGCAGTCTTTAAACTGCAATGGGAAGTGTTGTAACATTTTGAATCGAAGTTTATTGTTTTCCTTTTTTTAAACAGTGCCCAGCCTAGTGTCGATCGAGATCGTTGGTAGTTTTTATAAAATCAGTGCTTGCAGTAAATTTTATTTATTTAGAAATTAATTGGATAGAAAAAATCTCAAAATGGACGCGGTGCCGATCACATCGTCATACTTCCCTTCGTCGCTATTCTGGCCACTTCTAATTGTCGTCGGAGCTTTGACGGCTATACATTATTACATGGAAAATTTGCGAATCGTGAGACTCGGCAACAAACTTCCAGGTAAGCGATTACGATACAAATGTATCTATCAGATTTGCAACGGTGAAAATTATTTTTTAAATAAGGTCCGAAAACGGTTCCCTTCTTTGGAAACGCATTGATGGCCGTTGGTGTCAAGCCAAAGGATGTACTCACTGAAATCGAAAAGTACGACATCTACGGAAATGTCGCGAGAGCATTTCTGGGCCCTAAACTAGTCGTTTTTCTCGTTGATCCAAGAGACATCGAAATCATTCTCAGCAGTACGGTTCACATTGATAAATCCCCCGAATATAGGTATAAAAACAATCGATACAAAAAATATATCACTGTCTCGAAATGATTTCTAAACGAGTAAAAAAAAAAAACTATTACAGATACTTCGCACCGTGGCTGGGCGAGGGATTGCTCATCAGCACGGGCGAGAAGTGGCGCAGTCATCGTAAAATCATCGCTCCGACTTTTCATCTGAACGTGCTGAAGTCGTTCGTGCCTCTGTTCTTCGAGAACAGCATCGACCTGGTGAATCGATTGAGGAACGAGGTCGGCAAGGAGTTCGATTGCCACGATTACATGTCGAGCGTCACGGTCGACATTCTGCTGGAAACCGCGATGGGCGTGAGAGGCACGCAAAAGGAAAAGAGCAGCTTCGACTACGCCGTGGCTGTGATGAAGTGAGTACAATGAATTTTGGAAAAATTAATCGTTCAAAAAACTCTTTCGAATTATTACATCGACAAGGTATACGGTTCGATCGAAAATCAATGACAGTTTCATTGACGACGATGAGTGGGTCACTTTGAAATTGAAATGAACAATACACGCCGTTCGCATAATTGAAATCGACGATTGTGCAATCGCGTCTCGCGCGAAAAAAGAATCGAATTTTCTACAATACAATCGGGATAGTGAGTGACTCGTTGCGTCATGATCACTTGTTGCTTAATCATAATTCAAATTTTTTCGCCCCGTACATACTCGCGTCATTATTAAATACAACTCGTGTCGCGGGTTTAATAATATTACAAATTTATTTACGTGAGCGATTCTCTCTCTCTCTCTGTTTTACATAGAATGTGCAACATTATTCATCAGCGCCAATACAACTTCCTGTTACGTCTTGACTCGATGTTCCAATTCACGGCCTTTGCCAAGAAACAGAAACAATACTTGGACACGATTCATGGCCTGACCAAGCGCGTCATCAAGAAGCGCAAGGCCGAAGTCACGGAAACCAAGGAGGACTCCAAGACCATGCAGGAGATCGTGAAGGACATGAGGGATCAGAGGGAGGAGAGTACCAACGACAGCTTCTCGAAGATGAAGTACGTGAGGGACGATTTGGACGAGATCGATGAGAATGACATTGGTATTGATTTTTTTTTGCAGTGATGTTGTAGAATTATAACTGCATCGAGGTTAATTTTTTTTTTTTTTTTTTTGCTTGCAGGAGAAAAAAGAAGGCTGGCATTTTTGGATCTGATGCTGGAATTGAGAAAAAATGGCGCTCAGATGACCGATGAAGAAATAAAAGAAGAAGTCGACACCATTATGTTTGAGGTTGCTTAATAATTCATTGTTTAATTGATTAATTCAATTTCAGGATGCTTTATTTTTTAATATTGATTTATTGATTTTAATTTAAAAAATAGGGCCACGATACAACTGCTGCAGGATCAAGCTTCGTCCTTTGCGTTTTGGGCGCCCATCAAGACGTTCAGGCTCGAGTCATGGATGAATTGAACGAGATATTCAAGGGTTCGGATCGACCATGCACGTTCCAGGACACCTTGGAAATGAAATATCTCGAGAGAGTGATTTTGGAAACTCTCCGACTGTTTCCACCAGTGCCAGCGATCGCCAGAAAAATTAACGAGGATGTGCACTTGGGTAAGCTCGATAATACAATGATTTTGTAAATAAAAGTATTTCGCTTCAATAAATGTAATTAATTTTTAGCGTCTGGAGATTACATCGTGCCCGCCGGTTCAACCGTGGTGATTCCCCAATGGAAAACTCACCGTTTACCCGAGCATTACCCGAATCCCTTGAAGTTCGATCCCGACAATTTCTTACCCGATAGAACGCAAGATAGACATTATTACGCTTACATTCCATTCAGTGCTGGACCGCGGTAAGCTGGCGTTACAAATTAAATTTGTCGAAAGTTTTTTTATAGTTCATTATTAAATTCTGTTACCAATTTTCCGATAGATCCTGCGTGGGTCGAAAGTACGCGATGTTGAAGCTGAAAATCTTGCTGTCGACGGTGCTGAGAAATTACAAAGTGACCTCCGATCTGAAGGAGGAAGATTACAAACTGCAAGTCGACATCATCTTGAAGAGGTCCGACGGATTCAGAATAAAAATCGAGCCGCGAAACGAGACGTTGGTCGCGTGAATACAAAGAGAAACTGAATTATTGTAAATTTAAAATAGGTATATAAATAATAAAATAAATTAGCCGATAATTTTTCATGATAGCATTGTGAGCTCTGTTATACGGTTAAGGTATAGAACGATGAAATTGTAATAGGAAAAAAGTAATTCATATATCGAATAAGGTTTGATGATTGGTTTTGTTCTCCGTCGTGTGTGCAACTGTATAATTCATATGATTTTTTCATCCGCGTAGCGCATCATAGCACTCATTAGCCTAAGATGATATTTTTTGAATAAAAATAATACATTAACATTTTAAGAGAAATAAAACCTTTATTGACTTTTTAGAGGTCTGAAATTACTGACTTTGCCTTTTAATTGTTACATTCTATATACATGTTAATAGCCAAAATTTGTAAACTTAATGATTATTTTTTTTATGGCCCAGCCAAATCAATAAAATTTAAAAAAAAATTAACAATATATAATTCAAAATAAATATAATTAATACTACGATGAATAAAGCATTCATTATCAAAACAACGACTTGATTCGCTATAAAACTCTCTTTTTAATCTTTAATAAGCCTTAAAAAAATACATGAAATTTCCAATTCAGCCATAATTAAGAAAATTAATTTTGAAAATTTTCTAAATTTCATTTTACAACGTATTGAACTTAAAAATAAAATCATGAAATAATAACGCTCACGATAGCCAATATCCCCTAAGCAGCGGCAAACCGATCGACACCGACGCATAACGGGGGCAAAGGATACAAGATAAAGTACTATATTTTATAAATACATCGGAATAAAATAAAACAAAAAATAAATAAAAACCGAAATAAAATTAAAATACAAATTATTTTAACATGAAAAAATTATATAATCTACTGCTTTTCTCAATATTCTTTTTGTTTTCACTGCTACAGTTAATTCTATGTCGTCTCTAAGTCGACGAAAATTTTCAGATAAATTATTATATTTCTGTTGCTAATAAAGTAGCGTGTACTTAAACGCAATGTCAAATGCTTTTGCCACATTTTTATAATTTTTTTATTCTTTGGCTTTTAATATTTGTAAATTCACCGGTTACCCTGCCAATTTTAATAACCGGATTAAAAAGACTACACATACGTTTATCGTCTTCACGAACTCATGCCTTCAGCCGCCAAGCAAATATTACACAAATTTACGTTCCTCAGCCACTTGATGATCACATCACAGCTCTCGATCCGGCGCCGGATCAGCTCCCGAAAAGCATCCACCGTCCATCGACGGAAAAATTCCCTCGACAGTCTCTCGCACAGATGACTAATGTTGACTAATTTTTTTCGACTGACTGACTAATTTTTTTCGATCTCTTGCTATGATCGGAGTAGCCCGCGGACGCGAATATTTTGTCCGCCTCTTCCGGTGCGCGTCGTCATCTCTCTCGCTATGCCGGCGAACCTGTGGTCGTCGTACCAGCACTTCTCGAGGCCACTCGTCCGCTCGAACATTCCGTACTCGACGAACAATTTTACTATCTTCAGGACGTCCTTGCGGTCCAGCTCGTATCCTCTTTTCGCCAGGCGCTCGCCAACCGACATGGAACCGGCAGCTAGCCTCAGTTTGTCACATCTCGAATTATTATTTTTCGATTTTAATCTCTCGTCGTCGCGATCGAGGTCGGGAAAAACGAAGCTGGACAGATCGGCTCCATGATCCAGGAGTACATCGAGAGTATTCGGCAGGAGATTCGCTACGGCCAATTGCAGCGGTGTCCGACCCTTCTTGTCCCGGGCATCGACCTGCACCCACTTATAGGTAGCATCGACGAGCTCGAAAAATTCCTCCGGAAAGCCATCATCGACCTTCTGCCGCTGGCACATGACGTGCAGAGGTGTCAGTCCATCGGCCGTGGCTAGATTCGGGTCCGTTCCGTTTCTCAGTAATGCCTCGGTCACCTTCGGCGAGCCTCGTTACACGGCCAAATGCAGGGGTGTCCGGCCGAACTCGTCCTGGACGTCGATCTCCACCGTCTGCCGCATGTCCTCGTTAACCTCGAAGAACGTATCCACCGAATCATCGCCCATTTCGCGCCATGCGATAAAGTGCAGAGGCGTCGATCCGTCCTTTTTAGCCAAATTCGGACCGGCCCCCATTCTAAGCAGTGACTCGCTCGTGGATTTCGTGCCGCAAAACAGAGCCATGTGCAGCGGCGAGTTACCAAATAAATTCTGTGCGTCGATCTGGATGTCGTCGACGATCTTGAAAAATTGCTCGAGCCAGTCGTCGTCCTTGTCTCTCGTGGCAACGACGTGCAGAGCCGTATATCCAAGCGCGTTGGTCGAATTCGAATCGGCCCCCCTCTCCAGTAGATACCGGTCCATCTTCTTGCTGTCTGCTTTCAGAGCCAAGTGCAACGGCGTGTTGCCCGACTTGTCCTCGGTGTCGATCGGCACCGTCCGTTGGATATCGCCGCAGATCCCTCAGAACCACTCCGTTAAGTCGTCGTCTATTTTTCGCGATGCAATGTGGTGCAGACACGTCGATCCCTCCTCGTTGGCAACGTTTGGATCTGCACCTCTCCTCAGCAGCCATTCGGCCTTTTTCTCTTGGCCGTTGTGCAGAGCCGAGTACAACGGCGTGTTCCCCGTCTTATCCCGGGGGTCGATCATCGCCGTTTCGTTCTCTTCTTCGGCGATCTCAAAAAATCGATCCACAAACCGCACCTCGTCGAGACTCCCCTGGCAAACGACGTGCAGAGGCGTCAGACCTTCCGCATTGGCCAAATCTGGATCAGCCGCGTGTCTCAGCAGGAACTCCATCGCGTCCTCGCGCTCGTGCGTCGGAGCTAGGTGTAACGGCGCGTTACCCCAGTCGTTCACGGCGTCGATCTCCACCCACTGATCCGCCGTAGTCGCTCTTGCAGACGACGTGCAGCGGCGTCGATCCTCAGGCACTGCCTAAATTGGAATCGGCTCCGTTTCTCAGCAGTGCTTCGGTTACCTTCGGGGAGCCTCGGGCCACGGCCAATTGCAGCGGTGTCCGACCGCATTCGTCCCGGGCGTCGACCAGCACCGTCCGCTGCATATCTTCGTTGATCGCGAAGAACATCTTCGCCAAGTCTGACGTGCAGAGGCGTAGATCCATTCCCGTTGACCAAATTTGGATTTGGCCTTCGTCTTGTTGCCGTTGGACAGAGCTAAGTGCAACGGCGAGTTACCCATCTTATCCGGGGAGTCGATCGGCACCGTTTCATTCAGGTCCTCGGCGATCTTGAAAAATTCGTTCACCATGTAACTCCACGAGGCTGCACTGGCTGATCGAGTGCAGCGGAGTCGATCCGTACGCGGTGGCCAAATTTGGATCGGCGCCTCTCAACAGCAGCAACGAAGCCTTCCGATTCATCCCGTTGCCCAGAGCCCCAGATGCAGGGCCGTGTCGCCCGACTCGTCGCGGGCATCGATCCGGCCCGTGCGACGCAGCTCCTCGCGGTGATCTCGACGAACAGCTCCGTATCCAGACGCTCGCGGAGCAGGAAGATCCAGTGCAGAGCCGTCCTTCCGTTTCTGTCGGTCGGACTCGGATCGGCTCCCTCTCGCAGCAGCACCAGGGCCGTGCGCTTCCTGCGTCTCTTGAGCGCCCGGTGCAGCGGTGTGTTACCCCCCTTGCCCCCCCGGGCATCGAGCTCTATCGGTCGATTCGCTCTCTCGACGTGCTTGAAGAATAGCCCCATGAAGTCGTCGAGTTTCTCGCTGTCTCAGATAACGTGCAGAGCCGTGGATCCGTCGTTGCAAGCCGAATTAGGATCGGCGCCTCGCCTCAGCAGCGACTCGGCTCTCTTTCCTCCGCCGTAATAAGCAGCCAGATGCAACGGCGTCCAACCGAGCTTTTCCCTGGCGTCGATATCCAAGCTTTGCCCTGTTTCCTCTACAATCTTGAAAAAATGCTCCATGGTTTCGACGTTGTCGTCTTGTCCGGCGCTCGCGACGTGCAGAGCTGTCCGTCGCTTGTCATTGACCGATCTCGGATCAGCCCCTCGTCTCAGCAGCCACTTGACCACCTTCTCGTTTTTGGCGAGCATGGCCCAGTGCAGCGGCGTGTCACTGTCCGATCGCAGTACAGAGCCAAGTTCAACGTCGTGTTGAGCTTCTCCCGCGTGAGGTAGTTGGGATCCTCGTCGAGGTCGAGAAACTTCTCGACCGTGTCGACGCAGCCGAGCACGCAGGCCACGTGCAAATGCGTCAGGCCGGACTCCTCGTCGAAGTAGTTCGCCTCGAATTTGTCGTATATCGCGAAGAGTTCGCCGATCAACGATCACCGGTGTTCGATGGCTCGATGCACTGCCGTGGTACGCATCGTGCCGTCTTCGTCCAATTCGGGCTCGTCCTTGTAGCCCGTCCCGATCACGAATTCGATAAGTTTCCTCGCCGGCGCCGACTTGGCGATCTCCGAGAGTAGCCAATCAATTTCGCTCCCTTGAAATACTTCCCGAAGATTCGGAAGTTCGTCGTCCTTCCGGTCCTCGATCAGAGCGCAGAGTCTACGGAGAAATTCCTTTCGTTCCGTCTCGATCTGCCATTTGACGTTTTTACGCATCCTCTTTAATTCTGTCATGCTGTCTTCGTTATCAGTGGGTTCGGAATCTGGAGCGACGATTTTATCGCCAGCGCCATCCTCACATTCACGTTTACTTTCGTCGGATTCGTCGTTGGGTACAGTCATCGTTTTGTGCACTCACACACACACACACACCCACGCAATTATACACAATTACACACAAACGAATATAACATTTAATACTTTTGTTACTTTTTTTTCAAAAAAATCACTTCTTACAGTCGAATCACTTCCTGCGTTGCTCGCGCGACGGCATCGCAACGCGCACTGAATACAAGAACATAGTATTTGTTCGTATATTGCTCTCTCTCTCTCAAAAAAATCGCGACGCGCACTAAAAGCAAGTACTTCGTATTTGTTCATCTACTTCTCTCTCTCTCTCACAAAAATCGCAACGCGCACTGAACGCAAGTACATCCTATTTGATCATCTACTTCTCTCTCCCTCTCACAAAAATCGCGACGCGCACTGAAAGCAAGTACATCGTATTTGTTCGTCTATTTCTCTCTCTCTCTCTCTCTCAAAAAAATCGCAACGCGCACTGAAGGCAAGTACATCGTATTTGTTCGTCTATTTCTCTCTCTCTCTCAAAAAAATCGCAACGCGCACTGAACGCAAGTACATCGTATTTGTTCATCTACTTCTCTCTCCCTCTCAAAAAAATCGCAACGCGCACTGAAGGCAAGTACATCGTATTTGTTCGTCTATTTCTCTCGCTCTCTCAAAAAAATCGCAACGCGCACTGAACGCAAGTACATCGTATTAGTTCATCTACTTCTCTCTCTCTCAAAAAAATCGCAACGCGCACTGAACGCAAGTACATCGTATTTGTTCGTCTATTTCTCTCTCCCTCTCAAAAAAATCGCGATGCGCACTGAAAGCAAGTAAATCGTATTTGTTAGTCTATTCCTCTCTCTCTCTCACAAAAATCGCAACGCGCACTGAACGCAAGTACATCATATTTGTTCATCTACTTCTCTCTCCCTCTCAAAAAAATCGCGACGCGCACTGAACGCAAGTACATCGTATTTGTTCGTCTATTTCTCTCTCTCTCTCAAAAAAATCGCAACGCGCACTGTATACAAGTACATCGCATTTTTTCGTCTATTCCTCTCTCTCCCAAAAAAATGACGAATCCAATCGCGTCGTCCAACCGAACGTGTTCCAATGTAATTGATCGTTAGAGAGTTGGTGCGATGGCGTGCGATGGCCCAAGATGTGCCGGCCCATAGTAGCTCGATGCGTGCGTAGCGGCAACCGTAGAAATGTGTCTGCAGCATGATCTATCGTTAGTAAAATTTCGATGATCTGTGGAATTAAGAGAAAGTAAGTCGCGCGCACCCGTGTCTAGTGCACGCTTGTATTTCATGTATGTTATGAAGAACGCGTGAAGAGCATATGTTGGAAGTTATGAGAGATGCAAGCGTAAACCTTGAGTTATACTTTTTCGTCATACATTTTTTTTTAGACAACTTTATAAGATGATGCAGATTGTAATAAATATTATAATCAATAACAAATTAACACGAATGTATAATTGATTTTTATTTATTCATGTTCATAGTTAATAAATAAATAAATGTAATTTTTTTATTTAAAATGCTTCAAAATTCAGCGTAGACTATTCTCTTGGCAATCACGTGTACAAAGTATATAGTGATCAACTTTACAAGCGATCGCAACTTAATTTTGTACATTTCAAGCGGAGCTGTGTAACATTAGTAGATAAAATGAACGAAAATTGACATTTTTTGTTATCTTATAGTATAAAGTTGCAATAAAGAAAGTTGTCTGAGGTATTGGTGCACACTTTAAGTGTAACGCAGACTACTCCAGTCTATTCTCGATAACTAATTCTTTCAACTTCTTCGACATGTGGTAAGATCTCTGGCTGCCGCTGTTCATCTCGTAATCTTCGAGCACACACAAAAACATGTTTTCAATGGCTATCTGCAGTAAGCGAAGTTCTGCATTGACCACGATGTAGATGCAAAGCCCAAGAAGGAACAGTGTGCCTAATCTTTCTTCTAATTTAACCGATTGCGAAGACAGCAGTCCCCAAAATAATAGCAACGACAGGATTACGATCATCAGCTTAATGAATATGCACAAAGCCGTCGTGATCTTTGAATTTGAAAGATTTTTTCCAATTAATGATTTTTAAAGCTCACATGGAGACTTTTCCAGCTCCGGATCACAGATGTTTTCTAAAAATTGTTTTGGTCTCTTGGTACATAACAAAGAAGCTCCCTTAGCTTAGTTTAATTTAATGAGCCTTGAGAATAATTTTTAAAATTGTTTTATATTTTATTTAAAAATCTTTGCTGATTTTAGTCTTGGAATAGAAGCAATTGACTAATTCTAAAACTTTCTTGTTTATTGCATTTTCGCAAAGATTTTTTGATAAAATATAAAAAGATGTTAAAATGCGCCTCGTGGCTCATGAAATCAAACTAAGCACAAAAAAATGTTGTAAAAGACCTGAGACCCGGAGCTGATAAAGATTATCATCGTCTACCCGCGACAGAATGATGATCTTCGCGTAATTTCTCTTGAAGACACCGAATGACGCTCGAGCCGCGTCGACGAAGCCGCTGCCGTGATGCCCGATGCGAATGTAGGCCATGCCGGTGACCGCCTCGACGACGACCTTGACGCAGTACAGAGCCGTCCGGCAGCAGGTCATGCAGCACTCGTACGCGCCGGGCGTCTCGTCGTTGGACGACGACGAAAACGTGTATATCAGCAACTGCAGTGCGTAGCAGACGAGTATGACCAGCGAGCCGAAGGCCGTCGGGCCGATGTGGTATCTGCGAACGAATGAATATTGAATGATTTGCCTCGAGAGTCGATGCGACGACGGCGAGGATTTACCTCAACGCGATGTAGATGAAGCGCAACGCGGTGAACCTCGGCACGTCCTTCTTGTTCGTGGTCCAGTACCAGGTGCCGTAGGCTCCCGACGCGCTGACCTTGAAAAAGGCGAACAGGTGGCAGTTGATCCAGACGAGGGCCAAGCCATTGACGGAGTGACAGAAGGTCAAGTGGGCAGGATAGTCGTCCTCGCTGCCGATCGAGTCGATCGTGTAAAACAGGGAGATGTTGAAGATCGAGAAGCTCAACACGAGGACGGTCTGGCACAGCGAGTACAGGAACATCGACGGAAAGGCTAAAACGGCTCTGGAGGAACGAAAAAAAAAAATACAATTAAAAAATTCGATCGATCTGGATGAGAGGTAGGAAATGAAACTCGCTTGGCCCCCTCTCGAACGAGCTCGCAGATCACCGGGACGAATCTGTACTTGACGAAGAACAGCACGAGGAAGGCGATCAGCAGCACGACCGCCACGATGAACCAACCGAGGAGACCCTCCGTGTGCGGGCTGAACAGCATGATACCCGTGACGAGCACCAGACCAAAGAGAACGACGAAAATCAAGCCGATGATACCGTAAACCAAGGGCTTGGCGGCGATTCTCAACAGGCACAGGAACAATATCGACGTGAAGATGGCCAACGGGAATACGATGGCTATGGTCCATCTGAAAATTAACGTGTCAATTTTTTGAGCTGTACACCGAATAAAAAGATTTACCTACGAGATATTTTCTTTCGGTGTATGGAGTGTGTGCATTTTTGTGTTACCCTTCTTTGAAGACAAAATCCTCAGATTCGTGGTAGAAGTCGTTGTCTCTCGCGTCGCCGGCCGTCATCGCTTTGGGGAAGATAATATAATTAAGCCTTGGCAACTTTTTTTAATGATCGTCAGACCAATAAGATAAAATGGCATACCGTATGTAGCTACCCCGACCCATAAGGCGACGAACAAATAATAAGCGATTGCGAAGGGTATGTTTTCTGCTTTTCGTTTTACGTTCAGAGGACCGCTCCATTCTGTATCGTAAGAAATCTTCGTTCCTGAAAGTTTCAATGACGGATCGTCGTGGTTCGGGTTTTTGACGATTTTCACGAAACTCACCATAAACGCTGAGCCTGTTCCCGCCGAATCCGAGCATATTATTCGAGGAACGATGAATTTGTTAAAAGAAATAAAAATAAAATAAAGATATTTGTGTTTTAGTAAACACAACCAACCCCTAACCTGTACCACCAGCGCTAATTTTCATTAGCCACTGACAATCAGCTGTGAAATAATCGAACATTGAAAATCATATTCAGCTGAATTTGAAAATCTCATTGGAGCATTTTAAAAGGTCTATGCTCGTTGACGAGCGCGTTCCATGTTTTTAATTTTTCTCCTCTCGTACAGAAATAAAAAACAGTATGTTTTCCTATTGGTGCAGTTTTTTTCAGCAAAATGAGGGATTATAACACGAGCCGAAAGCGAGTGCTGTGAATACTTGAACTTTAAAAATCCACTGGACAATTTGGTAATTTTCTAAAATTTAGCGAAATAAACTTTTCTCACAATTATGTAATTGTTGGTTAGGAGTTTGTATTGCATCTCGATTTATTGCGTGTAAAAAATATCCTTTCAAAATCACCGCAACTTTATTTTTTACATTTCAATCGCAGCTCTGTAAAAGTAGTACTCACAATTTTTGTTACACTATGATATGAACTTGCAGTAAGGAACGTTGTCTGAAGTATTGGTGTAATTCTTTTTGAAAAAAAAAAAAAAAACAAATAGATTACTCCAGTCTATTCTCGAGAACTAATTCTTTCAACTTATTCGACATGTGGTAAGGTCTCTGGCTGCCGCCGTTCATCTCGTAATCTTCGAGCATGCACAAAAAGATGTTGTCAACAGCTGTATGAAGTAACTTAACTATTGACCAGATCACTATGAAGAGACAAATTGCAAGCACGACGAATAGGTATATTATTTGTTCGACGTCGACCGATGACAACCTCAGCAGTCCCCAAAATAATAAAAGCGAACCAATGAAGATCGCGAAAATCAAAAAATAGGCCAAAACGAACACGATCTTGAAAATGAAAAATATTTTCCCAATTTAATAATTGTAGTGCACGATTGATCTTTACGGCTCAGCGCATATACAGGGTGTCCCAAAAGTATGGAAACCTCTGAAAAGCGGCCAAAATAAGCGGGAAAAAAAATTGGGTAACCCTATATTCGACGTATTTTTTCACGGGGAATCCAATGGTGACCTTGGATTTGACCTTGAACATAACCTCAAAGCTGCAGCGACTCAAAAATCAATTTTTCAAATGTAACCCCCATTTTTTATTGCAGATTTGAAAAGAGCGGAAAATTTCACGTCGAAATGTATGTTTTGTATTTTTTTAAAGACCATTTTAAGGGTGCTACAGGCTCAAATGAAACCCCGATTTAACCTAAAATTAAGCTCAGAAGAACTTCATTTTCAAACTGTACCGCCCCCAAAAATTATATTGGAAAAAAAACATGAAGGCCTATTCAAACGTAAAATTTTTTGCTGTTTTCAAATCTGAAATAAAAAATTGCGGTTGCCGTGTAAAAACTCGACTTTGAGTTTCTGCAGCTTTTAGGTTATGTTCTAGGTCAAATTTAAGGTCACCATTGAAAAGAGCGAAAAATTTTACGTTTGAATAGCCCCTTATGTTTTTTTTCCAATATCATTTTTGGGGGCGCTACAGTTGGAAAATGAAGTTCTTCTGAGCTTAATTTTAGGTTAAATCGGGGTTTCATTTGAGCATGTAGCACCCTCAAAATGGTCTTCAAAAAAAAACAAAACATACATTTTGACGTGAAATTTTCCGCTCTTTTCAAATCTGCAATAAAAAATGGGGGTTACATTTGAAAAATTGATTTTTGAGTCGCTGCAGCTTTGAGGTTATGTTCAAGGTCAAATCCAAGGTCACCATTGGATTCCCCGTGAAAAAATACGTCGAATATAGGGTTACCCAATTTTTTTTCCCGCTTATTTTGGCCGCTTTTCAAAGGTTTCCATACTTTTGGGACACCCTGTATATGGGAAAAGTGCAGATGCCTACCGCATTGATAACGGCCACCTTCAAGTAATTTCTTCGGAAGAGAGTGAGCGCCTCTCGGCCCGCGTCGATGAGGCCGGTGCCGTGATGCCCGATGCGAATGTAAGCCATGCCGGTGACCGCCTCGACGAGGACCCTGATGCAGTACATGGCGGCGTTGCAGCAAGCCAAACCGGCACTGCCGAGATCGGCAGTTCCGTCGACGGCGGCGTTTGTCGGTGAAACCTGTTCGATCAGGAGGTTCAGTATGGTGCAAACCGTTATGATCAGCGAGCCAAAGGCCGTCGGGCCTATGTGATATCTGCGAATGAATGCGTTTAATCGTGAATGATATATAATTATATAACTTGGGGAATAAATATGGGAACCCTAAGAAATATTGCTTGATATTCAGAAAAAAAAAATTAAAAATAGCATATCGAATGTATTTTTTTGCGGGAAATTCAATGGTAATATTTTTTCCCATTACTCAATAATATCTGGTTAAATGAAAGAATACCCTCTTTTTAAACCTTTTTTTTTCAAGCAGGGACGTATTTTATAGAAAAAATATTTAGGATAAGCGTGTAAAATAAAACTTGCAATGGTTCATCTTATTTCACTTTTATAAGCTCTATAATTATCTTTCATGATCTTCACATGAGTCTATTGAATAAACCATTATTTATTGCATTATTAATTATCCATTTAGATAAATTGAATGTATAGAATTATCTGCTACTAAAATTATATTACATAGACGAAGCATAAAAAAAAGAACAGTTCTTATGATTGAGCAAATAAAAAATTTATTTTTTTGAAAATCATATGTCCCATTAAATTTGTCGGAAAATTGAAAAATTTCTTATCAATCGTATTAAGATAGGATTCTTTGAAGAGAAAGAGGCTTACTGGAAACAATAAAAAAACATTTTTCGATTTTTTTCGTCTAATTTTGAAAAAAAAAAAATTAGAAAACCGACTCGAACGTAAAATTTTCGGTTTTTCCGAATCTGATTTGAAAAATTAATTTTAGGTTCGTAATAGCAGTAAAGTCATGGCCGTTGGGTTTACCGTCCGAAAATATGTTGGAGATAGTATTTTTTTTTTACCCTGATTTTGCGAAATCATATAACCTGAACGTGATGTAGATGAAGCGCAGCGTGGTGAAGAACGGCACCTCCTTTTTGTCCATGGTCCAATACCAGGTGCCGTAGGCTCCCGACGCGCACACCACAAAAAATGCGTGCAGATGGCAGAAGATCCAGATGAGAGCCAAGGCATTGACGAGGTGAAAGAAGGGCAAGTAAGCCGGATAGTGGTCTTCGCTGGCGATCGATTCGATCCAGAAAAATAAGGACAGGTCGAAGATGAAGAAGGCCGCGATCAGCATGGAGTGTACCAGCGAGAAAAATAACATCAACGGAAAGGCCAGTATAACTCTGAAAAGCAAACAAAAAAAAAAAAAAAAATTTAGAATCGATTCGGATTTTTGATCAATTAGAATGGGGATGGGTGACACTCGCTTGGACGCCTCTCGAACGATTTCGCAGGTCATCGGGATGAACTTGTGCTTCCGGACGAATATAACGACGAGGATGATAAACACTACGATCGACGAGATGAACCCGGTTATGTGCACGTGCGAATGTTTGCAGTACAGCAAGTAACTCTGGTGGATCACGTTAGCGAACAGCATGATGAAGAGCAACGCGATCGACGTGTAGACCACGGGCTTGGCGGCGATTCTCAACAGGAACAGGTACAATATCGACAAAAAAGCGGCCAAAGGCACTATCACGGCCAAAGTCCATCTGCAAATTTTCACGACGATTTGCGTGAACAAAAATCGTTCGAAGGTGCGTGTAAATTTGTGCGTTACCCTTGTTTGAGAACGAAATCTTCGGAGGTACGGTAGAAGTCGCTGTACTTATCGGCGTCACCGTTCACGAGCGCTGCGCAAAAAATATTACCACCATTTTTAATGTTGACGTACGCGGGGTGGATAAGGCTTGGACTTTGATGGAGTGCCCAAAAAGAGAAAAAGTGACATACCGTAGACAGCTATTCCGACCCATAAGGCGACGAACAAATAATAAGCAATTGCGAAGGGTATGTTTTCGGCTGTTCGTTTCGCTTTCAGAGGACCTTCCCATGTTGGATCGTAAGAGATCTTCGTTCCTGAAAGTTTCGATGACAGATCGTCGCGGTTTGTTGGTGATTTTTGCAAAACTCACCATAATCGCTTATCCTGTTTGCGCCGAAGGGAAGGGCGCTTGATTGCGTGCCCATAGTTCCGCCCATAATTCCGCCCATAGTTAAAAAAAAAATAAAAATAAAATAAAGATGTTTGTGCTTAACTGAACATACCCAACCCTTAACCTGTACCCCCAGCGCTAATTCTCATTAGCCACTGATGATCAGCTGTGAAATAATCGAACATTGAAAGTCATATTCAGTTGCATTCGATAACTGTCATATTCGAAAAGGAGCAAAAGAATGAAAGGTCCAGACGTGTTGTAAAATTTTGAAAAAGTAATTTTTGAGATATTAAATTTGTAATTTTCGCTACCTTATTTAAAGTATATTTAGATATTTTGTTGGTTAAGAATTTAACAATTTCTCGTAATAATTTTTTATCTCTAATGTTATTTTTACATTGGTAAATGGTTATAGAGATGGTTAATATAATTTTTGACAAAAAATTTGAATTCCACATAGAATTTTACAAACAATTCACATCTCAATATTTTTTCATAATAACTCCATAAAATCAGAGTAAAATTTTGAAAATGCAAGTTCATCTTGAGCCTTTGCGCCACCACGAGGGTTGGCTAATTTCAATCTCGTTATTTTATGTAAAGTGAATTAATTTCGATACGTGACTGCCATATCTATTTATTTCCTCATACTCTATTCGATTCTTTACAATTTTCACGGCCAAAATCATGATTTAAGCTTGTCAAAGAAGCTGAAGAACTTTTTTGCAATTGAACCAAAAGTAGAAGTAGTCGACTCGTCGTCGTAATAATCTTCGACCGAGTCGTCGACGTCGACGTACTCTTCCATTTCCTCGCCTTCCTCGGGAATCTCCATCTCCTCTATCTCCTTCTCATTCTCGACTTTTGGATCCTTCTGGACGTTCGGCTCGTTGTACAGCTCGACTCCGGTCTTATTTTTCTCTCCCGTGACCTCGTCGATCCAGGCCAGATAGTTGTGCACCTGCGTGTAGACGCCCGGGAAGACGAGCGAGGCGCAGTCGTCGCCGAACGAAACGATACCAGCGAGTTTGCCGTCCACGACGGCGGGACCGCCCGAGTCGCCCTGGCACGAGTCCCTGCCGTAGGCCCAGGCGCAGAACATGTTGCGCGTGATGGTGTCGTGGGTCAGCAGATAGAGCCTGCGACAGGACTCGAGATCGCTGGCGTAGACGGTGGCCTTGAGCAGCTGCTTGGAGGTGCGCCGCGCGTTGTCCGCCTCCCAGCCGAAACCGGAAACGAGAACCTTGTCGCCCACTTTGACGCGTCGATCGGTCAACGGTATCGGCTGCTGCTTCTCGTCGAACTTTATCGGTTCTTTCAACTATCGAACAAAAAAAAAAAAAAACAGCTCAATTTTTGCCTCGTAAGTTTCTTACTGACATCCCCAACGGAAAAAATCGTTCAAGAAAAAGTAAAAGTAGTAACTAAAACCATAATATTAAATTGTAAAATGTAATAAAATGTAAAAAAATGTAAAATTACTAGCGATTTCGGACAGCCAATGCATTAAAAAAGGCAGCATAAAATCACGTTTTTTTACACTTTTTTACACTTTTTTACATTTTCTTCAATATGCTATCCGTGTGTGATCGCATCGACCGCAGCAAGTGATTTTCGTGAAAAAAATGTATTAATTTTTATGAATAAATTAAGACAAATTATGATGGATATGTATATAAACCAAATTCAGTCATCTCAGTACTCCTTAGTACATCTATGATGATGTTATAAGGCTTTCTGCTGTATTAGAGTGAGTTCACTTTTTTCACGAAAATCACTTGCTGCGGTCAATTTGATTACATGCGGGCTTGACTGGAATTTTAAACTCATAAGTAAAAATTGTAACATTCAAAATTATTATTACCGAATTTTATGTTTTTTTACACTTTTTTACTTTTTCCATGTAACTATAATGAGCTTGAATTCATAGGGTTTTCATCTCTCTAATTATAGGAAAACAAATGTAATAAACTGTAATATAAAGTAAAAAAGTGTAGAAAAACGTATCACATGTCCGAAATCGTTAGTAATCTTACATTTTTTTACACTTTTCTACTTTTTATTACAGTTCATAACATTATTATGCATTTTATTTAAAAAAAAAATTTCCGCTGGGGATCGTTGCAATTTTTCACCTTGATCAGGGCGATATCGTTGTCGTCGGTCTCGTTGGTGTACTGCGGATGCTCGACGATGTAGTCGATCTCGCGCAGGTGGCCGCCACGGCGATTGTAGCGCGTGCCCGTGAGGATTTTCCGCGGCAGCAGGAACTGCGTGCGGAAGGCGCAGTGGCCCGCGGTGACCAGCCAGTACTCCGATATGATGGCCGCGCCGCAAAGCATGCGATCCTTCACGACGAGTTGAGCCTTGAGTGATATGAACGTTTTTTTTTTTTTAATTAAAAATTCAGGCGCCAAGTTCGAGAAAAATGAAGATCGTACCTGATAAGGGAATTTTTTGATCGCCGCTATTTTCCCTCCGACGATTTTGTCCTTGTCCATCGGATCGTCATCTATACAGTTAATTTGAAAAATAATAATGTGTGTATATCTCGCAATTAAACGAGCTGATCTTAGTTTTATTACCTATGTAAAATGAGCTGACTCCGATTACAAGCAGCGATAGATAGATGAAATTTTTCATCTTGGGCATGAAAAACAATCACGCACTAAAATACTCAATTATTAAGTAAAACGATACCCCACGCAGTTAAATATCATACGTGGCAAAAAACAGACAACTAATTCGGCCAAATAATTTTACGGAAAATCAATTATCGGCAGGAAAAAAAAAGAAAAAGCAAATTGATTCGTGTCAACACGCCAAAGCAATAAATGCAACTAAATTGCCACGATTTCTTACAAAGTAGCAGCATAATGGCTTAAAGCGCGAGTACGTTCAATAAGAATTTTTATTTATTCATTCAGTAATTTCTTTACATTGTTCTTAATAGAATTCATCGACACTCTCTTGGGTCAATAATTTTGATACAGATGTGGGATCTTTCGTTATTCTCGCCTCCCACTCTCTACATAACTTGGGTGCATAATTGTATCAGAAAAATGACATAAACGACCCAACGAATGACAATGTGGCATCAAATGATGATAATACTATTTTAAGAGAAATAAAACCTTTATTGACTTTTTACAGATCTGAAATAATTAACCTTGTCTTTTAATTGTTACTTTTTACAAATAATGGCTCAAATTCTAATGAAACTCAATGAATTTTTCTACATCGATGGCTTACTCGATAATATTAAAATATATAACATAGCATATACAAATCAAAATAATTAAAAATTAAATTATACTCCAGTCTTCAATACTTTTATACATAATTTTACAAGTGAAATTATAATTCATTAGAAAGAGGTTTTTGATTTATTCCTGTTGCAAATCAATTCCACAGTCCATGGTACGATGAATAAAGCGTTCATTATTAAAAGAACAACTTGGCACGCAATAAAACTCTCCGTCCAGTCTTTAATAAGCCCTAAAAAAAATAATATAAAACTTGTAATATAGATATTATTTTGAAAAATAATAATGAAAATGCACTAAATTTAATGTTATAGATAAATTTCATTACCAGAAAGCGGACCGAAAATCACTGAAATAACACCGCTCACGATGGCAAATATCCCGTAAGCGGCGGCAAACTGATCGACACCGACGTCTTCCACGACAACAAGCGGCTGGGGCACCAACAGCCACGAGCGCACAGCTCCAATCACACCGACCATAATCAGCGAGCCTATGAGAGTATCTTCCAGACATAAATATCCTGATGAAGAAAAAATAAATTATTATTTTTCTTTTTTATATGATATCACATTACAAAAATGCATCGAAAGAATTTCATTTACCTATCTTGGCTATCGTCATTCCGATCATAGCGAAAAAAAATAGTAGTTTCGGCCTTACGTCGAAAAATAACGTGAAGGCTGCCAGAAATACGCGCGACACTAGTTCGGTCGTCGCACTGGTAGTGATGGCAAAAGTAGCTTCGCTTTGTCCGAATCCTCTGCTGGCCATCATCATTGGTAAAAATGCAGCGAACGTAAAATCACTGGCAAATACAAAACTTATACCTAAGCACATGTTGAGAAATTTTGCATCTTTCAGCAGAGAAAAGTCAATAAGATTATCTAGTATACGTCGACTTCTAAAATTAAAATTTAACCTTTAAGTAAACAATATTAATTTAAAATTTAGTATCGTAAGTATTTTACCGTATGAATATTTTTGTCGACTTGTCATTACTTTCTTCGTCTATACTTCGAGATTTATCATGCAAAAGAATCGGAGAATTTTGCAACTGTAGAATTGCATTATTGAAAGACTCAGTGCCGGGTTGAACTCTGACATTGGTAAGACTAGACGAAGGATACCCAGCTAACAATGCGTTTTTTCGCGATTTAGGCCATTCCACTTTGCCGCTGATAAAAAGCGATTTGCTGCGATTACGATGAGAACCTGCCTCTACGTCTGTGGCTGAAGAAACTCTATTTTTTTCTTCCTTATGTGCGAAGAAATAATTTCGAATAAATTAGTAATCGTTAATTGTTTTTTATAAAAATGTATTTACCATCTCTGGAATTGCTATTTGATCGTCTTCTTGTAAACTCCTCGAGCTGTACCATTTTTCTTCTCTTTTCAATTTTTTGACCTCTCTAGACCCTGATGACGTTTTGATAGGTTCTAATAATTTTTCTGTTTCAGCAGTCTTTTCACTCAATTTATCAATCTCCTTGTAAGGTTTTTTGATTTTCCAGTTCGGTGGAGGAATCATCAAAGCCATCCCGGCAATGCAATGAAGACTCAAAGCTCCAGTAATTGCAGAAGTACCTGATTTTTCAAATTATAAAAGTTATAATTTTTTAAAAATAATATCTTGAACGAAAATGAAAATTAAAAATTCACCTCGAAATCCATATTCTTCTAACATTACTTCTATTATTATAGGGTAAACAATGTAACCTGCTCCAACAATAACTTGAGATATTCCCATTATCTAAATATATTAAACATTAGTAATTTTGATACACGGAGCTCTTAATAAATGATGATATATTTGATTTTTCTATTCGTCGAGTAATACCTTGGATCTTTTCTTATCAAAGTAGGCATTAAAGTTGGTATTACAAATAGTAAACATTAGTCCAAGGCCAACTCCTTGTATTAGGAAAATCACAGCCATTTCAATGATGTGTCTTACAAAAGCTAGTAAAACATTTGGAACAGCATAAAGTATGGCAGCAACGATGCCGATGGTTCTCATTGAGAATTGTTTCAATAGTGAATCAGTCACTAAACCTGAATTAATGACGATTACAGAAATTATCGTTGACAAAAAAAATTCATCCAAAAGTTTATTTTATACTCATGAATTATTTATACCAAGGTGAGAAATTTTTCCCCGGATTCGTTTATTTGCATACTATCTACAGAGCTAGATGAGACTTTGATTAAACGAAGCTTTCATATGCACGTGTTTTTAATAATTGTACTCTTCAAAAATAAGATAAAAGGTAATGAAATTATGCGTACTGCAGAACTTAACTGATTTATGATGAGATAAAACAATTATTCAGGTTGTTACACAACTTATAACGGAAAAAATTCTGCACTTTATTTTTTTTTTCTCGTAATGTACAAACATGTTTCCGTTTTCCTTGAATTAAAATTTTTTGAGCTTAAATTCATGAATCATTTTTAATTTAAAACATTTCAAGTTCATCGTCGTATTAAAGCTGACGTTAAAATTATCAAAATTGAAGGAATCCAATTTATCTAGGGGTTTTTAAATTATATTAATAGTAATGAAATTTAAATTTATTTACCTGCTAATGAAAAACTTATGTTAAAGAGTGAATTAAGCATGGTCATAACAGAGCCCTCTTGACCCGTAGACGCCAAAAAATCACCAAAAACTATCGTAAAAGAAGAACAAGGTCCAATGGTAGATACCTATTGATCGAATAAATCGAGAAACACAAAATAATAATTTTACTTGTCCCTTTAAAATTTCGTTTAAAACAAAACTTACAAAAACAACAATTAATCCAATTGTAACCATCCAACCCCATCCCCCATCCGGTGCAACGTATTTATCATCGTCACTACTTATCGATATTGAATTTCTTGAAATATCTTCAGTCTTACTTTGGATTTCCGTCTCCTTTTCTTTCTTGGCCACGTTTGTTGTTTCAACCCCGTTGGTCTCTTCGTGGTTGAATCCATTTTTATGACAAACCATTGTTACGATGACATTCAAGCTTAACTATTTTGTTCTCCCTTCGAAATGGTAAATTACCTACGAAAATCTAAAAATAAAACCTTTAACATCTATCGTCATACGACGTTTTGACTGGACAGTATAAAAATAATCTTCGGTATTACAATAGTATAATAACATAATTGAATATTTTTTTTTAATTTTATAGTGAATGTTTAAATTTTTGAAAACTACTACAAAAAATTTTGTCATAAAGAATTAACTAACTAGTACAGTTTTCGCTGTTAAAAATTTGTATCAGAACGTTAACTATTAAAGCTATAATTTATCCATGATAGGTAATTCATCAAGCATTTATACAGATCCCTTTTATTAAATTAATATCAATGAACATTGTATGTATCATATTTTAAAAATATATTAAAGCCGCGTCTCGAACGCATAGCACCCAAGCAATCAAAGTATTATCAGTGTAAAATTGGTTTACCGTCGTTTTTAGCTGTAATTGCAGACCTAGAGTTCAACTCTGATATAGAGCAATGAGTCACTGACACTTCAGAACATTCTCTTCCCCGTTATCATCACAATCACAATTGGTCCAGCACATCCTTTCCTTGAGTAGAGCAAATAACAATGATTTATGAACTACGCGTCTATGTACATAGTACAGTTGCCAAGCCGAATGTTTGATTCATTAATGACTTTATTGAACGAAATGCGCGACGATCATAATATAGACTGATGGAAACGTTGTATCACTATTCTTTTTTTCAACGAAACTCGTTGCTCGCGTTGGCTTTTCTTCAAAATTTTCTAAACACAAATTGACGCGTCGTTTGACAGGAATCGATAATCCGAACGAATGACATTACTCATCGTCGCGAAGCTCCGCGTGAAAAAATTTAAATACCTCTTGGCGCAGGTGTCACTCGTCTTCTAACGATTCGACGATTTTCTCAAACGAACTGATTTTATTAATTACTCGTCTGAGCTATCTCGCCAATATACAGAGACTTAAAGGTACTTATCTAGGCGTCACTAAAAAGCCCGTAGACATAATAAACCGAGATGTTTTCTGCTTTCGTAAATCATGATAGCAACTCTAAATTACTGAATGCGATGAAACCTGTAAACAGAAGCGCATGTGTCTTCGAAGCAGCTTATATGTATACCTGCGTATTTTTGTTGACTCCAATAGACTTTATATCGATAAAAATGAGTAATTTGTTTGAATGAACGAATGTTCAATATTTTTTCCATATTGAGCATACACTGATTATCAATACAGAGAATCAGGGAAAGCCGTATCAAATTTTCACACTTACAAATTTTTTTATATACAATTATTCATTAACAATCGCGGGAAAAACATAATGAATCAGGTTTTTTCGGGTACAAGTTATCAGTATGGCTAAAAATACAATTCTTATTATTAGATAACATGAATAATAGAATAAGTAATAAGTATAATAATATTATTGACAAATATTTACACCTTTATCTTAGCACAAATATTTAAAACTATCATAACTACAGTGATTATAAAAATATTGTCGATAAAAATATCTTTTCTACGTTTACGATCCGATTTATATGTTTTTGAAGAATAATTCAATTTATTTATCTTATAAAAACTACTGATTGCTTGAAATAAAAAAAAATGCAAATGTGCAAATGCATCGTGAACTTTTTTTTACGCGATTGCATACCGACTGCACATGTTTCGAGCCTCCATTATTTCACGGTAGATGGCGACTCTACATCTTGAGTGGAGGTTCATAATTTCAGTGACATTCAAAATTGTCCTCTAAGATTGGAATAAAAATAAACTTGTACGAAGAACTAAGCGATAGTCGATGTTTATGTTTCTTCAGTAACTGTCAGTATTAACCAAACTTTCAAGATCGACATCACAGCGGTCACTCATGTACAGAGATTTCTTAGCAATTAAGTAAGTTTTACTTATAAAATTAATATTAAAATAAATAAATGAATAAATAAATGAAACATTTCAATTGGCCATTTTCCAAAAATCACATCACCGGCATTCATTCAAGTACCAACGAAAACCTATTGTTTTAACTTGGCAATTTAATAACCTTTACGAATAATCATCATTATTACCGTCCAATTTAATAACAAGTTGGACATGCAAGTTTTTTTTCCTGTTTTTATCTTTTTTTTTCTGCTTTTAATGATAGAGCTATCGAATGCGATGACTGCAACAGAGAATGAATTCTCTGCAAAATCATACTTCCCGATTCTTCGGCACTTTAGTTCGCAAAGAAACAGCATAAGATGCTACATTGTGAGCGAGTGAGTTTTCATAAAATTTTGTTTCAATAAATAATTTCATATTTATTGAAACAAAATAATACTTTAAATACATTGCATCTTGGTTAAATTTTTGATCAAGGTAAGAAAATAATTAAAAATGCATTTTAACAGATTCAATGCTGCATTTAAAGATTAAATTGAAATTTTTTTTTAAATTTTTTTCGTAATCCTTTAACAATTCTAACGAAATTTTCTAATATTTTTTACTATGAACATTATCTCTTGATTGACTGCGTTCAATATAATTTTAATTATAGGTTTTAAAAAATATGGTCAATTTCTTTTAATTTTTCATTAAAAAATTGTCGTATTTGACGCTTCGCATTGTTTCAATAACCTCGTCGTCAACCATAGCGATATATTTAAACGATGGTTGTGTAATAATACTTTAGCTTCGTCAAGTCATTCGTAGTAGTATAAATCATATCGGAAAATCACCATTGTAAAAACTTTTCCACTTCGGATTTATTTGCGCTGACAGTAGCATCATTCACACAATAAGCTGGAGAATTTATATTAATGAATGAATACTCTTGAATGACGTTTTTCCTCAAGAACCAAAGATGACAAAAGATGTGGCACTATACGTTGCACCCGATGGTGGCTGGGGTTGGGTAGTGGTGATTGCGTATGCCCTCAATAACGTGAGAAATTCATTATTTTTACTGCAAAATTGAAAAATCAATTAAAGGATTAATTATCTTCTGCCGTCAGATTATAACGATACCGATCATACAAGGTTTTGGAATGGTGTATAACGATGAATTTAAAAGATTAAATATATCGGCTACTCAGTCAACAGTAATCATTAATATCAATCAAGCTTTCGGAATGATACTGGGCATGATGAATGGGCCACTAATACGCATTTATGGCTACCGCAAAATATCCATTATCGGCTCACTATTTTACGCTACTGGTATTATCCTGACGTCTTTCGGTACAACATTTATTCATTTTGTGATTACGTACGGAATGATGGCCTGTAAGTTTTTTTTTTAAATTCATTATCAAAATATATTTATCAAAAATAATGAAGCTCATCGATTTCTATCAGCCCTTGGCTTAGCGATGACCACTGCCGCCTGCTCACTCGCAGTCAATTCCTTCTTCAAAGAAAAGAGGGGACGAGCGATGGGAATTTCCATGACAATCACGGGATTAGGACCAATCCTAATGCCGCAATTAGTTTCCGTTTTGTTACCGATTTATGACAGCGGGGTACGCATACACATTTTTTTCAATATCAGGCTGACCTTTTAAAATTTTCATAGAATCATTTTCACGAGTAGATCGAAAAATATTAAAAATACAGCTATTAGTCGATTTCACAATGTGATAAAAACATTCAAGTGTTAACAGGGTACAATGCTCATTCTGGGCGCATTGAGCCTCCATGGGCTAATTGGTTCCTCGCTCTTGCAGCCATTAAAATGGCATGCGAAGCGGATACAAGTGAAAGAAAATAAAGAGGATGACATAAAAAGTACGGCTGGTATTCGAAAAAGTAGTTTTTAATGGTTATCGAAGACAACATGAGAGTGAACATTTTCTTACTAATTTTTTATAGTTTCTTCCGAGTATCTTTGTAACGGAACAGTGGCAAGTTTCGCTGAAAGTAAAAGCTGAAATTTTGAATGAAAATGTTTTATTTCATTGATGACTTTGGCATCTGTTTCGAGTAAAAGTTAAGATCATTCACGATAAACGTTAATCGATATTGTTATTATTAATGTTCAGATGAAATTGAAAAATGCGAGGAAGAATCAGAGTCTTTGATGGAATCTAAAATAGGCTCAATGAATGATTCTAACAGAGGAGCTTTGAGTGAAAAAAAGAAAAACCAGAGAATAAGTTCCTCGGTCGTCGATCTGTACGACGACAACGTGAGTATTTACGGATTTGAAACTCCCGTGTCCGTTCGACAAAATTCTATACTGGATCTGAGAGGTAATTTCAAAATTTTTGTATCGACGATAAACATTGATATTTTTTTCATTTGTAAATTTTACTCTGCAGCTGCAAGTGTTTCGAGTTTGAGCAAAATTTGCAAAGCCGAAGGTGAAAATTCAATAGACTCAAGAACGTCCATCTATGAAAATGAGAGGCGCAATAGTCTCAATGAAAACAAAATAAGGCCTAGATTAGGATCGGCGAATACGGAGTGTTTAGTTTTGTTGAAAAAACCATTGAACAAAAGTTTGATAGAAGAGGACGAGGAGTGTGAAAATGGCAACGGCTATGCAAGCAACGAGATAAAGAATATGTAAGTATCCCAATAGCTATTAAAAATTGAATTTTTGGCTAATAAATTTTTGCCTTCAGCCAGCAGCAATCGCCACCGAGCAGAGAGGCATCGCCCAAGGACGAACCCAAGGCCCAGTCGTACCTCAAGCGCATCCTGCATCGGATCGTCGAGTTCTTCGATCTGGATCTGTTGCGCGACCCGATCTACGTAAACATCATGCTGGGCATGTCGATCGCCATCTTCGCCGAGTTCAATTTCTCGGTGCTGACGCCGTTCATACTGTCGGACATGGATCTGGACACGCGTCAGATCGCCACGATCATGAGCGTGATCGCCTGCTCGGATCTGGTGCTGCGGGCGTTGGCGCCCTACATCGGCGAGTGGCTGCACAGGTCGCCCCGGGCCATGTACCTCGTCAGCCTCTTCCTTCTCATTTTCACGAGATCGTGTAAGTATCGTCGACGCGAAAAACTCGATCCATCGTTGGACGGAAAAAATTTTTAAATGATGCTCACCGATCTATACGATCTTGATTCGTTAAAATTGATGAAAAATTAAAACCTAATCCGCACTATTTTATTTAAAAATGATTATTACTTTCCGCATCACGATCGCCCTGATTGAAATGCTTTGTTCTGATAATGGTGTATTGATCAAAAATTAAAATTAAAAGTGTTTAAAAATATGTTATTATTAGTTGACTACAAATCAGCGATTTAAATGACCTCGAAATTATTTCAAACAATTTTGACCAGTTCACAACCACTTTAAATTTGATAATGTCACTTCAAACCACTAGATGGCGAACACACATTATGTGTAAATCTGCAAGTGGCAAAGTAAAAATAATTGTATAAGTTGAAGTATGGGCTTTGAAAAAATATGAAAACGCACTTATATCCCTAATGACCAAAACCTTCCCTTAAAATATTGAGCATTTCTATATACCAATGACGCACTCGCAAATTACAATAATAACGAAATTATCTAATTCCAGGCTTGCTGATAGTTAATGACTTTGGCAGCATAGTGATCGTCGCCGTGGGCTTGGGTATAGCCAAGGGTATCCGAACCGTGTACATGACACTCGTTATTCCCAGTCACGTTTCGCTGGAGAAACTGACGTCCGCAAGCAGTATTCAGTCATTAGTCAATGGGACTCTTTTGATAGTTTTCGGCCCAATCCTAGGTGAGATAAGTTCCCTCGCGCGCGACTTCACTTTCTATATATCCTTCTCTCTCTCTCACTCTCCGTCTATTATTTCGCATTTCGATTTTTTTCGCAGTCGTTCGAAGTAATTGAAATAATAAGTTTTATCATTGTACGCGTACGAGTAAAATTAGAGACACCGTGACATCGTTCTTTTTTTTACTAAATAATATCAAGCCAAGCATTTAATTTAATTTATGACTCTTTTCTCTAATTTTCAGGGTTAATAAGAGACATCACCGGCAGCTACCTATCCTGCGTAATTCTAATAAATTTCGTGACGGCCATAGCCGTGGTAATGTGGCTCAGCGAGTTCGCCATTATTAGGTGCAAAAACCAAAACAAACGCAGAAAAAGAAAATTGGAGCCGGCTTAAATGAAAGTTGAATCCGATATGTGATATATATTCAGAGTACTTTTACGGAGTAATAAAATTCATTTTTTTGTTTTCTTAAGCGAGTTTTATCATCAGTGCTTATAATGTATAGAAAAAAAAAAATTAAAAATAATTATATTGCTCTTGGTTAGAGCAAATAAGAGCTCGTATTGATAAAGATTTTTGTGCAAAACGATTATTTCAAGTACCGATACATACGCTTCACGCAACCGGAATCTAAATGCATTTGTCAAAAATCGTCGAAGTACAGGAGAAAAAAAAATCGATAGCTGACAACTTTCTCCTCTCTGCGCGGCTGTTTGGCGCTGCTGTGCGTGGTACGCTTCATTCTTCTTTTTATCCTGTATATATACCATTTCACTTTATACTATCAAGATCATCATAATTTATCCTATTCTTATTCTTCTTCCTCGTCACTCTCCCCAACACTGATATTCTCACATGGGTACGTGTAGGTGTGTGTGTGTGTGTGTGTGTGTGTACTCATTAAGGTCGCGTCCTTGTTCTAGTACTCGCGGATCTAATTACCAACGAAGAGACTCGTCCTATAAGACAGAGAGACTTTTCACGCACACCTCTGTGTACCAGGACGAAAACTCAACTGATATACTTGTGTATATCTACGTTTCAAAGTACAATAGGCCCCCGAGCTTATTTTTCTCACGTAACCTTTTCGGGTAGATATATTTTGTTTATAAGTGTATACGTATATTTGTATGTGTGTGTGTGTGTATATAGATGACTTCTTCCCACGCGCCTCACCACATCTTGCCGAATACCATCTCTCGTCGACTTTTAATTCATGAAGCTATAGGGTCTGCTGCTGCACGTTCAAGACTTTTGTTTATGGGTGTCACGATAGCGCACGGCAGCTCTGCTCGACTCGACTCGACTGCCACACGGCGAATGTTTTTCGCCTGCTCTATAAGCTCTATTGAAAATCGTGAATGAGCATTTTTTTCACGAGCGTCTACTCCGCGATGTTACTCTTTTTTTTTATGTGAATGATGAAAAAAAAAAAAAAAACTACAACGAGTAAGTGGAACGAAAGGAGTTGTATACGTTTTACAGACAAATTGTTGGAGCTTATCCTATCATGGATCCGACGAGAGTCTTTCTTTGCAGCTGAAGAGGATATTAAATTTCTTTCGAAAAAAAAGTTGTATATTTTAATTGTTGCTTGAGAATTTTAGAAATTTTTAATTTCCGAGGACAATTGAATTCGAAATTTTACCAAGAGACAATTACAATTTTAAACGTACTTAAATTTTTGTGTAATGTCACGCAAATGATACGACCTCTGCCACTATTATCAATTGAAATAAAAATTTACCCGCATGACACTCATTATTCCGAGTGAATATAATTTCGTAAGTTTCAGGGCGGAGAGAAAGAGTTAAATAATACGAAAAACGATAAAAAATTACGTAATGATTCATAATTTTGATTTTTTATTATTATCGAACGATAAATATTATTATCTATTTTTACATAGGAGTACAAAAATACAATATTTTACAAAACTCGATCAGTTACAACATTGTTAATAATCAAGTATTTATCGTTGGCTGTTTACACATAATGAAGCTACAACGTACGATCGAAATGAATAATATTTAAAGCAGTTCTAGTCGCGCGGTTAAAGTTTAAGTATCAGACAGCATACGTATACGTTTATAACTTTACAACACGTAACAACGAGGCGCAATTAAACAAAATTACTCCTTTCACACGGCATAAAAAAAGGCATCATCGTGTACCACACACACACTTACTCATGCAAAGTAATCTCTATACATTCATGCGTTATTACACACGGCAGGCGCTTACAATGTTAAAATTATACAAAACTTTTCTTTTGACACCTCGCTCGTTTTTTGCTTTTACGTATATTGTGTACTGCGTTAATATCAAACAAATATGTGGAAAACATTTGCATAATTCGCATTTGTTCGGTACATAACTAGTAGGCGATCTTACGACATAATTGTCCTTTTATACATATGTCTTTTCGTAGCTCGTTCATTAACATATACATTCATAAAAATACATAATTAAATATTTGGTATTATAAAACTTGCATAAATCCGTAAAGATAACGATTAGTATTACAGGACACAACGGATGCGCCGTCGATAATATTTACGCGAATTAAGAATAAAAAAAAAACACAACAGAGTTAAAATGCTGTTAATACGATCGATAAACCTATATAAATATGTACAAACTTTCCATTATTTTCGTTGTCGAAGCGAGAGAGACAACGAGCTCTCCGGCTAATGCTAATCGTCCGCCTGCGCAACCGACATCTACACACATACATACACGTATGAAGAAGAAAGAGTCGTTAATTTCTCCGTTCGCTCATTCGCGAATTGAATCACAGGCAGCAGCAGCAGCGACTCTGCTCTAAAAAAGGGGTTCATCGCATTAGCGCAGCGGCGTCTCGTGTATGTGTGTGTATATACCATCAGCGAGTCATAACCGTGTGTGTATACACGTATAGGTGCAGTCTCATTACGAGCTTCGCGAGTATAACTCGGTCACCGCCGCCGCCGCGAGACTCTTTCACCTCTCCGTGTACTGCTGCCGATGCTCTTCCTCTTCCTTCTTGCGCTTTCTTCTCACCTTTTGCTCACGTGTGTATATTTTGCTTATAACGTACACACGTGCAGTACGGAGATTCTCTCGGCCTCTTTTCGGCCTCCCGCGCCAACGAGCTATTATAACTTTTTTTATTGCCATTCCGCGCGCATGGGAATCTTCTTATCAACGACTCGCGTGTCGCTTCGCGTATTATTATTAGAAAACTCGCTCGTTTCTTCACACTCGATATACGAAATTTTAAATATTTTCAGGAGCTTGAAAAACTTTACCGTTCTGCGATAAAACGTCCGCGCGAACGTGCGAGAAGAGCCGCTCATTCGTAAGGAATGAAAAAAAGTTTGCGAATCAATTTCGATGCAATTACATGCCAGTTTAAATCGAGTGAAATAAGCTCGCGCTTTCTCGATAATTCGTCGACTCGAGTCAATGAACTCGCATATAATGTTTGCCTATTCAGAGCTCTCCTCTCGATCCAGCCGTCAGATCTTCCACATTTTGTTGAAAACTAAGAAAAAAAAGAGAAAAAAAAAACGAAAAATCACGACTCGCCAAGCTCTCCCGTTTCTATACATAGGTACTTATACTGCACATGTGCAAACACGTTCATATGTATAATGTATACCAAAAAAGTGAAAATCACGAAATACGCCAAGAGTGTATGTATAAGCAGAATTACGCTCACCCACGCACATTATATGCACGCGCTGCACCACGCGCGGACACAAAGCCGACTCGGCGGCGCTACGGGCCGATAAAGCATCATTGTACGCGCTGGCGCGCGCGTAATCGTAAAAACAGAAAAAAAAAATTTTTTTTCCTTCCTCTCCGCGCGTTTAAAATCCTTAAATGAAGCGCCAAACGCGTTGTGCCGCGGTAGCAAAGTCGCTATAATGCACGCGGAGAAAACGCAGAGCTCTAGCTCTATAGTAGACTCTTTTCACGCGCATATCCGGAATCAGTTAAGTCTCTTTTCTTTAAAGTTTTTTTTTTTTTTTTTTAACGGCGCGCGCAAAAGCTAATCGGAATAGTTCTTTTATTTTTTTTTTTTTTTGCGCAGCTCGAGCAGAAAACTGTACATCTGGCGCGTATAGTACATAGCTATATACCACGAGTTTTCTGTAAATTTGCAGCGAGCCTCGAGGTATTATAAATGCAATTGCGCACGACGGCGACGGCGACGAGCTGTTTCTGCTGCTCTCACTCTCGCTGCTTTGCTCGCTCTTCGTGCGCGAGATACATCGGCGCGCGCTAACTATTTTTTTCATAAATATATCAGCCAGAACAATATTTCAGAGAGGTACAAGTCTCTCACCACTGGATAAATGTGTCATGTTATCGGCTTATATACTATATAGTAAATACCTTGTCGGATCGAATGTATATTTCTCTCTCGCTTTATACATCTCGCTGCGTTACCTTTATGTACAATCCACAGCTTCGACGCGATCTCGATTTTTCGGTTCACTTGGCTGTATTATGCAGCAGCAGCAGAGACACCCATTGGAGAATTGAATCGTCGGTTCGCATTTACGTGCGTCGCCGTTGTCACTGTCGCACATTATCCATTCTTCCTGCCCGCGCTGTGGATCATCTGGCGCGTGACACCTGAAAATGTACAACGAGCGTCTTCGTGTTTTTTTTCTCTCTCTCTTTCGTTTTCATGCTCCGCGTCGTGTATCATAGGGTATATAACACGCGATACGTTATGCGCCGCGCGCGCGAAGAAAGTGAAATTATACCGCTAGTTTATAATACAGTCTGGGCTGGCTGGCTGGCGCGCACGTGATACGGATGCTTTATGTGCAGTTTCGACGATTTGATGGATACGTATGTATGTATAAACGCGGGGGAGAAGTTAAACACACCGCATCGGAGGAAGATCTCCTCGCATTGGTATTTGCAAAACCGAGTACGTACGAAATTTCACCTCTCGAATTCGTGCGCTGGGCAAATGAAAGGGGATGCGAGCCACGTACGCGCGCGTTTTTTATTGACTTTAAGCGAGAAGATTCGTAGACGCGATAGAGTCGATAGTTAAAACGAGCTATTTTAGAGTTAACTATTTTTTTGTATTTCTTTATGCAAATGCTGCCCGAGAGACTAGTTTTAAAAGCCGTTAAAACGACGATTTCCTTCTTTTTTTTTTTTTTACCTTCGAGTGGCCCCCGTACAGGATGGGTGTCGATATCGGCTCGGTAAGCACGTCGCTCTCGCTGCGCCACCTCGGCTGATTGGGACTGGCCGGGATCTCCTCGTGCTCCATGATGCCCCAGAGCGCCGGTGCCGCCGACTCCGGGGCATTGACCAGCACCGCGAGATTGTTGACGGCCTGCGGCAGCACCTGATAGGCACGCTCGTAGTTTCCCTTTTTGCCCTCCGCCGATAGATCCGTCTCGAGCGAGTTGGGATTCGGCACGGGAGTGACTACGTAGACGCGCTCCGAGTCGTGAGACTTGGAGTCGTTGAGATGCTTCGACGCTGGCTGCTGCTGCTGATGCTCTTGCGGTTTTGGCTTGCGCGGATACGTGGCGTTGATTATATTGACTTTGGTC